CGCTGATTTGTTTTTGTATTGTTTTTGAATGTCAGAAATGTATATTTGTGAATGTGGAGATGTTATACTGGTTTCACTGGTAAAAATAAATAATTGAAATGGGTATATATTTGTTTTGTTAAGTTGCCTAATAATTATGCACTGTAATAGTCACCTGCACACACAGATATCCCCCTAAAATAGCTAAAACTACAAACAAACTAAAAACTACTTCCAAAAACATTCAGCTTTGATGTTAATGAGTTTTTGGGTTCATTGAGAACATGGTTGTTGTTAAATAATAAAATTATTCCTGAAAAATACAACTTGCCTAATAATTCTGCTCTCCCTGTAAGGGGCAGCAGTAGCTCAACAGGTTGAGCGGGTTGTCCAGTAATTGGAAGGTTGCAGGTTCGATCCTGGCTCCGGACAGAGAATTCTGCTGTTGTGTCCTTGGGCAAGATATTTAACCCATGTTGCCTGCTGGTGGTGGTCGGAGGGACCAGTGGCACCTGTGCTCGGCAGCCTCGCCTCTGTCAGTGCACCCCAGGGCAGCTGTGGCTACATTGTAGCTCATCACCACCAGTGTGTGTGTGAATGGATGAATGATACACTGTAGTGTAAAGCGCTTTGGAGTCCTTACTCTGAGAGGCGCTATACAAGTGTGGGTCATTTATCATTTAACTTTTATGATGATGAAGTTTGGAAAAGTTTACAACAGGAATTCCCCTGATGGAAGCTGGATTACATCTAGTTGGCCAGGGAAGGCCTTGGAATTGTGCCAGTGGAGCAGGTGGATGTTGCTGGCGAAAGGGCGGTGTGGGCCTCTCTGCTGAGGCTGCTACCCCTGTGATCTAGATTGGGATAAATAGGTGAAAACAGACGTGAGGAAGTTTCAATTAATCCAAAAGTGTGAGAAACTTTACATCTGCAACTAGTCAACCAGTAAGAAACTGGCTTTTAAACTGAATTATGAGTGCTATAATTTTGTAGAAGATCACACACAAGTATTTAAACAAATCAAGAGAAGGACCTTAATTATTTATTTTTTTACCAGAGGTAATTGCATTTTTCTCGCCACTTGGGGGCAGCAAAAACAAGCTACTTTAAAGCTGCAATAGGAAATATGTCGAAACAAGCTAGCTTTGAAACGCGAACACAGTCATGGAACACCAACCCTCCCATCGGGTATCATCCCTGTTCCACGTCTATCAGAAGCAGAAACTCACATTGCCAGAGGAAACAAGATAGCTCTAAACACCAGTTGCTGTTTTCTGCATCCAAACGTCTTTTGTTGTCCATGACCTCAAATGGTGTTTTCCATTTTTGGACTCTGGTATTTTGTCATAAAGTAGAAGTGGTAGAAGCCGGCTGTTTCTCTTTCTCTGATTATTATTGGAGAACCAAAACATATTTATAGCTATACTACGTTAGAATGTTATTAAGTTGCATGAAAGCATGTTTTAAGCTAGCTTGTTTACAAAGTTAACCTTTAATCTACTTGACATATCTGCCTCAAAGTTGTTTAGTCAAAGTTTTAGCGAAGTGTTGCAAGTTTTCATTCTAAATTTACAAAGAAGCATCTGTTTTGAGTTCAGTCTGAAAAAATAAATTGTGGCTCGAAGCCACCACGTTAGCTTGAACCCAAAGCTTTGTCCTCAGACTGCAATTGTCTGAGTTTTCTGAAAAATCACCTCATATCAACATTCTTTTCAGTGACAAAAAGCTAAATATTCCAGAAATGCTAGCCTAAAAACGAAGCAGGTTCTAGAGTAGAAACTCCTTGTGTCCATTTTCTTTTCCTCATCCAGCGTAACAGGTCCAGGAGGGAAACCCATACGTCCCTCTCTTTGAAGCTCTGCCTGGTGCAATCCCAGGGCTTTCCCAGATCAGAGAGTACCTGAGTCCATCCAAGGTGCTCCTAACAGTGGAAAACCTCCAGTGGATTGAAACCAGGAAGCTCCTTAAACTTGAACCACCTCAGCTGACTCCTTTTGATGAGGAGGAGCAGCGGTTCAAATCTCAGATCTGATTTCAGCCACTTTTCTTAGGGAATCTCATTCCTCGTCTCATCACAGTAGATGAGGCTGAACCAGAGAGTCAAAAACCTTTTCCTCCCTACTCACCTTCTTCTTAACTCCAGACACGCCCCTTTAACCGCTGGCCCACATCTCATCTCCATCACTCCCAGATCAGAGAGGATTCCATCTTTTTAAAGTCAAGGACATAAAACGAAGTGTAGCCGTAAACAACATCACAACACCGGAGCCTCCGTATTTCTACTTATTGTAGCTCTATCTGATTTATTTGCACCAAAACTGTAAAAAACAACTAAAACAGACAACGATCCAACATCAGTGTCCTACGAGGTGTTTTACATCAAACGGTATTGTCCATTATGAACATATGAAGTGGGAAATGGTTTCTTGAAAGGCCAACATTCTTGTCACCGCATGTGAGAGCAGCACATTAGCTTTATTCAATTATTCAATAACTTATCCATTACATTCCCTAAGCCTGGTTTCCTTGTATTGATGAGCTAAGAGGGAGGAGAATGGAGGATCTCATCTGTGAGCTGCTGAAGAAGAAAGCTTCTGATGCTTTATGTCACGCTTGGCGCGGGATGGGGACGATTCAAAGTGAAGAGTTAAAGATTTTAAACCACAATCGCGAGCCGTCTAATGCATATTTTAGCGTGTATCCAGGAATAAACGGAGCAGCAATGTATTCAAACAGAAACAGGCCTCCTGCTGGTATAACACCAGGGGAGCCTCCTGGGAAGCTCTAACTGAATGCAGCTCCACTGTGCATTGTTCTACACCGTTATTGTTTCAACTTCTAACAAGTCCTGTATGTAGGCCATGAAAATTCACTCACACGTAGGAAATGTAGTCTCTTCTTCAATCATCTTTTTACGGGTAAAATGTTGGTGTGGATTTTCATTCATCCATACCTGCGAGTTAGAAAAGGCCATAAGATTTGTTCTCTTGATGCTTCACGACAATGTCGTCCAAAAGGCTCACAGGTTCGCATCGTGACTTTTTTTCCCAATTCAATTCAGTTTATTTAAATAGCATCAGTTAAAAGTTTCCTATATGAGAAAGCCCAGCAGATTATGTCAGCGTTTGTCCAGCAATCCTCATGCTAAGCAAGCACGTAGCGACAGTGGTAAAGAAAACTCCCTTTTAACAGGAAGAAACCTGCAGCAGAAGCTGGATCAGTGTGTGCAACTGCCCGCCGCAACCAACACCTGTGGAAGAACAAACTCTCCGTGACTTCACCTTTAGTTTAGTTTATTCATTTATAAAGCACCTTCAACAACCTTATCAAAAGCCAAGGTGCAGAACACAATCCTAAAATCACACGATAAGAACAAATATGGTGTCGAGGAACATTTAAACAGAATTAAGAAAAGAAAAACGAGCATAAAATATTTATGTTTATTTTATTCATGTTTATTTATTTAGCAGACGCTTTTATCCAAAGCGACTTACAATTTATTACCTATAGGGCATGTTGTGATCTGTGGGGGAAACCGGAGTACCCGGAGGAAACCCACACATGCATGGGGAGAACACGCAACTCCACGCAGAAAGGCCGCAGCCGAGTTTCGAACCTGCAACCCTCGTGCTGCGAGGCAACAGTGCTAACAACTGTGCCATCATGCAGCCCAATATTTATAGGGAAATCCATTGAAACTAGGGATGCACCGATACCGATACTGGTTTCGGTATCGGTGCAGATACCGATACAATACTGGTATCGGTACCGGTAAAAGTTAACCGATACCAGGAACCGATACCAATGCAGTTGCTTGAAAATGGCTTCACTGTAACTTGTCATTTCTGTTCACCTAATATTTTAGTTTTGTGATGATTTCTATTGATATATTTTACTTTTTAATCTACCTCACAGTCTTTTCTTGTTGAAAGCAGAGAAGAAAATAAAACCTGTATTCCAAATCATTGCATTTTTTTGTGTGGTAGAAGTATCGGTATTGGTAATTGGTATCGGCGAGTATTCAGATCTAAGTATTGTATCGTATCGGTTTGGAAAATGTAGTATCGTTGCATCCCTAATTGAAACATAAAATTATAATAAAAAACATGGTAAATGAGATAAAAACAACAACAAATACCTCTCTGATGGGCTGAATTTGAAGCCCAGTGGGCGGTTATGATCACCGCCATCTTGGCTGTTGCACACGTCTCTCGAACAATGCAACACGGGCAATGAGGTAGAGCTGAGAGCAAGGCTTTGAAGATTTCAGTCTGCCATTACTCTCAGCTACAAGCTAACTTGGCTAACCAAAGCAAACTGAGCTAACCAAAGCTAACGGAGCTAATGGAGCTTTGAGCAGCCGCTCTGTGGGACGGGACTTGTCGTCTTCAGGTCCAAGCCTCCGGACCGGATGAGCAGGGCAGGTGGGATTGGAGTTGATGAACAGCCGGGTTCTAACCAGGTCGTAGGCTGAGAGAAAACCAGTAATGACCCAGCCCAAACCCGTGAGAAGTGTTCGGGGGGGTTGGGTGTGCTTGGTGTGGAACCACGTATCAACTCACCAAGCTGCAGAGTTTCTGTGGTGTCCCTCAGAGAGCTCCATGGGTGACAAGCACAGCCTCAGACTGCAGTGAGCCGGACCCACGGGACACGTGACCCCCACACTCTGCTCCTCCGCAGTGGTTGGAGATGCGTGTGGACACTGCCACAGAAGACAGGGAGATGATACCAAAACTCGGTCTCCCTCTGGCGGCAGCTGGCTCCTACTCTTCAAACATGCTTATTACTGCTGATAAGTTGTTTTTTTTAACATAGGAGTCAGTTGGACTTTACTCTGTTTTGAAGTTGGCCCCTAGTGGGTGAGGGAGGAACTGCAATTTTTGTCACTTCCTGGTTGGCTTCAGATCCAGCAGCCTGGGGTTCCCCCTTGGCCGTGACTCACTGGGGGTTTGAGAAGACACACACAAATAAACAAAACGCATAAGTTGCGTGACCTTACTCTGCTTTTTGTGTGCTTGCAGGTACCAGCAGGTGCCAGTGGTGCTGGTGGGCAATAAGGTGGATCTGGAGGACGAGAGGGAAGTGTCCCCCAGCGAGGGCCAGGCACTGGCAGAGGACTGGGGCTGCCCTTTCATGGAGACGTCGGCCAAGAGCAAGACGATGGTGGACGAGCTTTTTGCTGAAATCGTCAGACAGATGGACTTCTGCCCTCTGCCCAGCCGAAGAGAAACCTGCTGCCCCACCTGCAGCGTCCAGTAGCAACCTGATAGAAATTAGAGTGCAAATGTATTTGTGTCAGTTCAAAAAGAAAGTTAGAGGGAAAACCCCTGTTGTGCTATTCAAGTTCTACCTGCTTCCTGTATGTGCAAATTAAGGCCTGCTCTCTGGACAAGAGGTTTGTGGGAAATCACTCACTGACAAAGGCTGGGGGGGTGTTAGATTTAAACATTCGTCACTTCTCAGACATTGAGAGAACAAGCAGCACTTGACCTCCAGCACCCATCACCGTTCTGCTGATTGTTTCGGAGTGATTTCCCTGAGTTTCCCTAAAGCACCGTGGTGCCAAAGCCATCAACCAAGAGGATAAGTGGTGCTAAATGCTTTTTGGAAAGCAGCCATAGGTCAAAGCAGGTATTATTAGTTTCTTCTTCTTCTTCTTCTTCTTCTTCTGCTTGTGTTGTTCTCTTTGCACCTTTGGGACATATTTGACTGTGCAAGACAGACACTACACAGAGTTCATTTCACAGCAGGCCCGCCTAACTAAGAATGAATGAAAAGATGAACGAATGTCTCAAAAAGAAAATAAAACAAAAACGCACCTTTGGGGGGAATTCATGCTGAAGGTCCCAAATGCTGACATACTGTGGATGATGTGTGCATGACGCTGTAGTGTCACACTGACATTGAGTACAATCAACCACACCCAAAGAGACAGCGATCAGTCAGTGGTTCAAATGTACAACACTCGTGTTTTCACACTGCAGACAGAACAAATGCCTTGTTACATGTTTAAGATAAGCATCAGTGTCAGTGTGTAGCTAATCTATGCTAATTCACATCAGATATGTTAGTAGTTTGATGTCAGAAACACTTATTTTCAACAAAAAATAAAACTTTATGCACAAGTGTGTCGCGTTTTTATCATTGAATGTGTGTTTTTATTTCAACATAATTTATTCAATTTTCTTAAGATTACCTCTCTTAAATCAGCTGTTCAGCAGTAATCTGGCACCATCTTAGCTTTGCTCTTATCAAGCAATTTTCTGATGGTTTAGTCATGCCATCCTGCATTTGATGCTCCTACTGGTGATTTACTGCTCAATTTGGTTATGAAAACACCAAAAACCATTTATAAGAATGTAAATAAAGGTTCTATCTTGGGTTTGGGTTTTATTTTTCAAAAAATGTATAAAAATAGATCTGTAAGTAGTATAACTGACTGAACATAACATTAAAATATAAATATAAACCCTTTATTAGTTGATTTGCCGCCAACAGCTTCCCCTGCTGTCAGAAACTAGAACAACACTTCTTCCGTTTCACCCGCCCCGCGGAACATTTCGTTTCTAATTTGCGACCCGGACCTAAATATGCGTTGCACAAGAAACATGCATGGCGTCCTTCAGCTCTAGGCGTTTTTAGCAAGACGCTTCTTCTGTTTAGGGTTCTTTGCCTGTTTAAACTTTAGTTATTTTCATTTATATGTAGAAATATTCTTTAAGAATGACAACAGGAGCCGTTTGTCGATTTTTCCAGCGACGTAAGTACCGGTTAGCTAACGTAGCTTTAGCGCGCGAGGACACTTTCTAACGGTTAGCTTTAAAGGTTAAATGTTTATTATTAGCATTAATGGAAGCCGTTTTAGATGTTTATAGTTGGAAAAGCACAAATGATTTGACGTGATTATGACATTAGGTTATGTCAATGTCCGATAAAAAATAAAACGACAAAATTATCAGCTGAATCAGGCTGTAAGAATGATTCTGACTTATTTAAATCTGGAAAAAAAAAAAACAATTTGACATGCTGAAATAATGACTAAAAGGATATAAATAAGCTGTTTATGTCTGTCTTCGTTTCCAAAATGTTGAAAATAATTATCTTCATAGTTTTTAAGCTATTTTTGGATTTTTTAAATAAAGTTTTTAGTGAAAGTTTAGTTTTCCACCAATCTTTACTCAACGCTTCCGGTTTTAAAGAGCCTTTTCTGCAGTAATCACTCCTGTTTCTTACCTGAAGATTGCTGCCTGAACAGCCTCAGTTCAGAGAAACAGAGTTTACGTCCCATAACAGCAGTTGTGCCTCACGGATATTTTGTGACTCAAGGCGCTAAATAAACAAGATGATGAAAACAATGGCTCTTACTCCGATTTTATTACTCACGTTTAATTGTGTATTATTATTTTCAGCGTTTTCATCTAATATAGTGAAAATAACTTTTTTGTTTTCATTTTGTGTCTGGAGAGCTAATCTTCAGACCCAAACCCACAGCTGGGTCATAGAACCACTGTCCTACAGGACTAACGAGCTAGTGGCCAGTCTGAGCACGGAAAAGTCAGTTTTTTTTATTAGTAGTTTTATTTAAGGTTCTCTTAATAACAAACGTTCATGAGGATGTTTACCTACTGCCTCCGGCTCTTTTAGCGTGACTCTCCCTCTTCTCCTGTCTCAGGTTTCGCGTCTGCTGCTGCAGCTCTTCGTCCTTCCCCTGCAGAGATACGCAGCCACAGAAATGCCCTGTTCTCCAGAGAACAGGCCAGGCAGAGAGCTCTGTACCCTCGCATAGAGAAGATCGAGGTATCCATGCAGGGCCCGGGGCTGGACGGCACGCTGCTCATCATGAACAAAGGGATGTCCACGCCGCTCAGCTGCGCCAGACGTAAGCGGGATGAAGCAGCATGCTGTGCTCTTGTACATTTCTGGACGTTAGCCTTAACAAAGCGTTTTCTTTCAGATCTGACAGAGCATCATGTGAATAATTCAGCTCTGGCGCTGGTGGACGGGGACCTGTGGCCTCTCCACCAGCCCCTCACCCACTCCTGCTCCCTCACCCTGCTCACGTTCAAAGACAACGACCCGACTCTCGTCAACGAGGTGATTTATTTTTGAAGAAGGGTTTTATTCCTCATTATCAGCTTAATTACAGGTGGTGGTGTCATTTAGGGACAAGTGATAACTGTGTCCCTCTCAGGCATACTGGCGTTCCTGCTCCGCCCTGCTTGGACAGGTTCTGGAGACGGCGTTTAAAGACGATTACACGGTGGAGCTCCTCAGCACTGCAGAAGTACCTGGTGAACTACTTTGTAGTTTAACCGTTTGATCATCTGTTGGTTATTTCCTGTTCATCTGACTCTTTTTGTCTCTCCTCGGAAGTTACTTCAGGGGCTTTCTGCTGTGATGTTGTCCTCGACCCCCAGCTGGACTCCTGGACACCCTCTGAGGTGAGTGTTACAAAAACGCCAAAAATAAAAGCATTTATTGATTATGACGAAGAGCTTTTTTCCTCTCAGGAGTCGCTGCGTTCTCTTACCAAAGGCGCCCATCAGCTGATCCATCAGGACCTGGCCTGGGAGCCATTGGAGGTGGCGCCCTCTGTGGCTTTGGAGGTCTTCTCACACAGCAGGTAGCCTTAGATTCTTTCTTCAGAAAATGAGCTAAAATGCAAGAATTCAGTTGGTTCTTTAAATTCCTGCAGGTGTAAACAGGAGGAAGTAGAACAAAGAGCATCGCAAAGTCCCAAAGGCACGCTGATGCTCTACAGGTGAGCTCGCTCTTCTTTCTTCCTAATACTGTTGTGGTTTACCTCGGTTGTTTACTGTTTTTGTTTGACTTATTATAGATGTGGTGATCATGTGCTGCTGGCGGGGGGCCCCCTGGTGGCCAGAACGGGTCAATGCTCCCAGTATGAGGTGACAGCTTTCCACAGCCTGGGGCAGGGGCGCTGGGGGCACCGTCGGAGAGCACAGGGCCTCTCTCTGCCTCTGCAGCTACAGGTGGGGAGTAAAAACTACAGCCATGTTAAAGGGTCTCATATTTACATTTGTCTTTGCCTGTGGTTTCCATCCGATTCTAGAGTTTTATCAAAATAATTCTCTAAATAACCAAGTAAAATAAAATAGATTTTAGTGACATTTTTATTACGGATGCACCAATGGATCGGCATTTGATCGTAATCGGCCGATAGCGCCCCTATCGGTTTTGATCGGAGTTTTCAAAATAGATCAAAGCAGACCGATCAGGTAGGGTTGTCACGGTAACCAGTTTAGTGGTAAACCCCAATAAAAAAAAAAAGTTGACAATAATAATAACCGTCTTGTTTTTTAAAAAAAACCTATATTATATTGGTGGATTACCGTGGCTGCGGTGTAGGCGCGGTGACCCTTACCAGCCACCGTATCATCTGCTGAAGTTGCCGGTGGCACATGCGCGCTTTGCTGTTTACGACCAAAACTTTCTTGAAGCTAAAGCTGAAATAATGGCCAAAGGAGGAGACGGCAGCACTCAGGAGGACATTTATTATCCCTCAAAGAAGACAAAGTCGGAAGTACGGGCATATTTTAGATATTTGAAGAATGCCGAGGGACAGCTGATAGAAGACGGCTATCCTGTTTGCAGCACGTGCAGAAAAAGTGTCTGTGAAAGGCAGCAACGCTTCAAATCTCATGACACATCTGCGTGACCATCACCCACAACTCTACAGTCAACGCAAGGCAAGCTAACGTTAGCGTTTTAGCTAAAATGCGTGATCCGAGGATTTGGGTTGAGGGAGAATGCAACGAGTCGCTATATAAAGCAGCCGCAGCGCCGCTACCTGCATATAAACCGTGTCGCGGACAACCCCATGTTGAAATGACGCTATGCATTACGGGGCTCCCAGGGGCAGATAAGAGTTGGTCTCTCTCCGAGAATAATTATGAATTCAACAATGATTACTGCCTGATGACATTTTCCCACATCTGCAAAGCTCACTGGAAGGACACAAACCAAGGATGATATTTTCCTGATATAGGGTTTATTACTCAAGTAAGGGTAAAAAAAGTATCTGATTAGAAGGCTACTTGAGTACTGAGTATCATCTGATCTAATATTTTTAAATGATGACATCAAACAGACATAAAATAAGAAGTTATGGGCAAATATTGGTATTTTAAAGACTAAAGGGGAAAAAGGTAAACAAATAAACAACATAATTACAAAATAACACATTTTAGGCAAAATTTAGACACAAACTTTGGACAATATTTCCTGACATACAGGGTTTATTTAATTGTGTGAAAATGTAGCACGTTTAAAAAAAATACCGCGATAGTACCGAAAACCGTGGTAATTTTGGTCACAATAACCATGAGGTTAAATTTTCACACCGTGACAACCCTAATACAGACCATTTTAGATTAGGTTGCATTTCCTTTATTCCCAGATTATGTAGTTTGTAGCACTCATTATAATGTAGAAAATTTCTGGCCAATCCACGTGATCGGTATCGGTGATCGGCAACAAAAAACCTGATCGGTGCATCCCTAATTTTTATCTTTAACCAGCAGGGGGCGGTGGTGGATACCTGCTGTAGTAAATGAAAACCTGTCAGGGTTCAAACTAAATCATATGTTGATGTAAAATAGAAGCTGGTTGTTTTTTACTCGGCAGGTAGAACTATTTATTGTCCCATAAAAAGGAAGAAGCCTCGTTTATAGCTTTAATTTTCCTTTTAGAAGGCTGGAGCAGCTAGAAAGTTTGTTTAAATGAATGTTTAAGTAGATGAAGGCATTAAATCTGTCTAATGACCAAAAACGTCAAATTCTAGCTCATAATGACTGTATTGATCCACCGTCCTAAGACCCGAGAGCCAGTCAGAATTAAAAACAACAAAAAGAAAATTCTACATTTAGAGAAAAAAAGACTAAATGATGAGGAAAAATGTTCCAAATTCAATAGAAGCGTGTTTATTTCATTTTAAATGATGAATTTCTTCCTTTGCTGCTCACTCAGTCTTTTCACTCACACAAATGCATGGATCACTGTGTTTATATCGGTATCGGCCCAAATACTTCATATTGGTGCATCACTAATACTGATATGTTAGACTCACTTGTCCATGAGAGACGTCGCTAACTCTGCATCAGTTTGAGTTGAACGCAGAGATCCTTCCATTGTTGGAAAAGCAGGTTCAAGGGAAAGTCTTTGCCGGTCTTTAAGTTGCTTTTCGGTTACATAAAAAAATATAAAAGACTAAAACGCAGTATTGGCTAATACGGTCGGTTGTTGCAAAAGGACATCACCTTTACCAGTCTTCAAGGTAAACCTGTAAATGTCCTTTTTTAAAATAAACTCAAGCCCAAATAATCGGTCACTGGTAAATATGCAGGAGGAGCCTTCTGATTGGTCCAAGTAGAATTCCTGGGTGTTGTTTAAACTTGCATTAATACTGTGATTTATTTGTTTTAATAAAGATCGGATTCTGATTAGTTTTACAGTAAAAGGTGCTGATTTTTTTAGATAATTAGTGAATTTCATATAAAGCTGATTTTAATCCTGATCCAGGGTCAGCTCTGATCTCAGAGACTTCTGACGACCAAACAAACAACACTTTCTGATCACGTGTGGAAGCAGCAGAGCTTTAATATTTAATGGAATAACTCAGCTCTATGAACGTGTTTTTGTTTTGCGTTTATAGAAAGTTCTCAGACCAATTAGTAGATGGGGACAAAATAAAATGTAGCAGCGCAGAAATGTGACTGTATTTTTGTCTGCATGTGCACCCACGTCACGTTTCCTCCTCTGCAGGCTCATCACACCGTTTGGAGAAAATTGAGACAACGGGCTCAGAAACTGGTAAGAACAGCAAACACTCAACATCAAAGTTGAGCAGCGTTCGCCGGTCTGGTCTAAACGCTGGAGGCCGGTCCGGGCCACGTTCCCGGTATCACAAAGCAGCCAGAGGTTAGGATTTAACGCGGCTATTTTTATTACATTCATTAAAGCACTGGCGACGCATCGGGAGCTGTAATCTCTGGGAAACAGCAGCTCCTCGCCACTCTGTGAAGGACAAAACACACAAACAGCAACTATTTTTAAATCAACTTCAAAGATCTTGGCGTGAACGCGGCGAGCGCTCGGCCGGATCGGTGCCGGTAAATCTGCTCCATCACCAAACTAACCAGAATTCTCTTTTACTCGGAGGCTTCGAGGTAATTCTGGATGGAGCCCTGAGGCATAATCTTCTCTTACATAACAACAATAATAAAAGAAGCCCTTAAGTTGGCTCCGTAGCCCACATCTGAGCGAGGTTCACTCATAAGAGACTGAAACGGGACTCGACGAGCTCTGAGCTTTTAAAAGCCCAGATTTTCATCACGTCTTCCTGCACATGATCAGAAAAGCTGCAGGAATGGCGGTCGCCGTTATTAACACCCTCAAGTGTACAGAGTCGATCTGTATGGAGGACCACATCCCTTAGCTTTAAGTTAAACCTCTAATCAGTGGACGGGTCTTTAAAGGACATTTATGAAGAGGAATCCCTCCAGACTCGCTGCTTTTAACCACTAAACTGTTATTTGTTCATTTTTTTTGGGATTTAGGTTCCTAAAGGGACACCCTGCTGTTCAAACTTCGCTCTTCTGTTCATTCATTAAATGGCTTTTTAACGTTTTTGGTGTTTTTGGTCAAACTAGAAGATATCTTCCTGAACAGCCTTGGTTCAGAGAAATGGTTCATTTTCTACAAAACCGATGGGCGAACGAATTGCTGCCAAGACCCAAGTGTGTTGCAGCCGTCTCAGAACATCACAGAAGAGATTTTAACACGTTAAGCTATTGCTTTCAAACTGGCTTCAGTGGGTTTTGAACCAGAAACCTGGACAGCACCTTGTTTCTTCTGCTGACCAAAAACTGCACCTAACAACTTTGTAGTTTGAGTGTGAACAGGTTAGGAGTGGAGCAACGGGTGGAGTTTACTGTGCCAGTAGCTAATATAAATGCTAGCCGTTAGCTTTTTCAGTTTGCTAGCCATCAATGAAAAGCGCAAGAATGGGTTTGCGTTTTAGCTGACATCATGGCGGAGGCTGGAAGTAACAGGAAGAGAGTAAAGTCATGGAGGCGGAGCAAAGAGCTAAATCAGAGCGAACATCGGTGCAGCCCGCTGCAGGGTTGTTTACGGCAGCTGTAATTTTGCTTTCGCCCAGTAGGGGGAGAAGCGAGAAAATGTGCGTGTTAAGCCTGGGGCACACCGGAGGCGGACGCGCTGCATCGCTCCAGAGATTTTGAGCACTTCTTGGAAAGTCACGCGATAGTCATAACATCACGCGGGACTTGAGAACAAGAAGCGGGAAGTGACTCGATTGTTTATACGTGATCAGACTTGCCGTCGGATTTTGTGAGACTTGAATTGATTGAAAATGGGTAAGTACGCTATTTATTTGTATATTTTAAGATCAATAGTACTTCAAAGTTATCAAAACTGCGGTTGGGTTTGTGTCGTAAAGCCGTTCCGTGTCGTAAAGTCTGCTGTAAAGTACTCCACAATGTTGTAAACAGCTGTGGCACTTCTGGGACGCGGCGCTCCCCGCGTGCCCACTCATTAACTATAATGGCTTCTTTTTAAAATGACGGCGCGGTGCGTCTGCCTCCAGTGTGCCCAGGCTTTACTAACAAACAGCCAAAATCAGTTTTACTAGAAAGTTTTATCGAATTGTTCATATTTTGTATAAATATGTCTTACTATTTCCACCCAAACGACACGTAACGCAGAATTTATGTTGTGTAAAGGTCTATAAAACAAGGTTAGCATGAAAGGCTATGAAACGTCTCTACAACTCACCTCCAGCTTCTGTGATTTTATGTTCCTACAAGATTTGACACCTCTATGACCCGGAAGTGCAACATTTAGCTGATGCTTCTAAAATTTACGCTCCTAAATAACCAGAAATTACTATGTAAACAACTGTAATGCTAAAGTCAGCGCAGTTTATAAAGTAAGGTTAGCATGAATTACTAAGAACGAACCTTTATCTTGGCTGTGCTAATACTAGCCATTAGCCTATCACTCCAGTAGAAAGTAAACTCTTTAGTTTCTCTTGTCCTAGCCATCATCCTGTCTGCCTTTCAAAATAAAAGTGTTCTGAAACATCAGGGATAGGCTAACTATGTTAGCTTTGACACAGGCTGGTGCTAGCAACAGTTTTAACAAACTGCTGTCCTGAAGTCGTTTGGCCTCTGAGCCTCCCAGTTTCCTCTGGTTTGTCGTTTTGATTCACTGGTTTCCCTAGAAGCTTCTGCTCTTTCCTGTTGGTGATGAGTCGTGTCTGTAGTCTGAGGATAAACGCCCGCTGCTTCCTCTAATCTGTACTTCATTTGTTTAGTTACAGACTAGATACGGAGGCGCCGAGTGAAGTCAGGAAGTGAATTTGAGAATCTGGTGCTGTTTTGTTGCACAGATGCTCTTTTATGAAGCTGTTGAGCCCTTTTGTTCCCACTGAGGGATTAATCATCTGCTTTTATTCAAACTGCTGCGTCTTATGAGTTTATTCCCTTCAGATGAACGAGTTGCATCACGTGTAATTTTATTGTTTAATACAAACGAGGTCCCTAGGTGATGATATCAATAAGTCATCGTTTATCTATAAATCTGCGTTTGTAAAAGTTGTAATTTGCAAATTTTTTGCTCTCAGAGAAATAAGCTAGCTGCTACATTAGGCTGTCAGGGTCGTGGCTAACGACGTGAGTAAACTGGGGTTTCACCGAGAAGCAGGAGTGGTAGTTTTACTGAGTCGGCAGGGTGTCCACGTCTCAGGAAAAGCATAACGGATCGCTGCTCCCCTCTCAGAGCAAGAGAACGATTTGTTGCTGACGACCGCGACAGAAAAGAATCGCAGGACGTGAAATGTTCTGAATCAAACGGCTGCCTGCAGAAGATGAAAATCTGCTTGGATCTGATCAGAAGGGTGGAAACGCTTACTGGTTGATCAGCAGCTGCAGGTATGGCAAGCTGTTGTGTCAGAAATGTATTTGTGTACGTCAGGCCTAGAACTGATTATTAGTTCATTTGTTGTTTTATTCATGCTTTTTGTAACAGTTGTTACCTGAGGATGTTTTAATTGGTTTGTAAGAGGAAAGGTTAATTAACAGATTTTGTAGAGTTGTTAAATTATATTCTGACTTCATCATTTCCAGAACACAAGTTCAAAATGTTCCTGCATCCCTGCAGTAAACAAAAACATCACAACAAACCTTAGTTTGTCTATTTAAAGCCGTGTTTTCATCTGAAGCGGTGTGTAGGCGTGGCTGCAGGTGGCGGGGAGACATGTCCCCCATCTGCCTCCAGCTGGCACTCCGAACAGTCCCGCCCACGCTGCAAACAGATTCTCCTAAACTTCCCCGCAGGGAGAGTCACGACTCTTCCCACCATTCCTGTTTTGTCTGGAAAAAAGATTTTCAGTTGGTTTTATTTTTTTATTTCAGGTGGATGTGCCTGGATGTGAAGAACCATCATCCTCTTCCTCCGAGTCAACCCAGTAACGGTTTTACTCACTTTAGCTGGATGTTCAATAAATGTTAAAGATGTGCAACCAATCATGTCCGAGTCTTTTCTCTTCAGGATCCGTGTGTGTGTGTGTGTGTGTGTGTGTGTGTGTGTGTGTGTGTGTGTGTGTACAGAGGGTTGGTGCAGCTGTTGTGTCTGTCAGCATTCAAACAGGTGTCCTGGGATTCTCCGAGAGTGTCTGGCTAATGTGAGAAAGCGAGGCTTGTTTTGCTCCGGATTCCCACCGCAGACGCTCACAAATCTCAGCTTTCCTTCATCGCTGTCAGCAAATTGAACACAATCGGAGCCAAATGAGATGACTCCTTTAATGATTTTTGAGATGCAAACGTCTCCGTGTGCATCTTCAGCACAGTGTCTCCAGAGCAGCTGCCGTCACGCGGGGCACACCCAGGACACGTGTCGACAGCACCTGCAGGATGCTGGAACGTGGGCCCTGAACGCCTCGCCTCAGGAGGCGTTTCACGATTAAATTTAAAAAGCTAGTCTGGAATGACGCACTCACACATGAATTAATGTAGAATGTCTCCTTTTATAGACTTGAGCGCGTGCTACAGCGTCGACGGTACTTCTGTCTCCCTGCAGGTTCTTATTGGCCTTTTCTGTCTCAGTCAGCTGTTTGGGAAGCAGGTTTGAAGGTTCACCAGCCTCGTTGTTCATCAGAGAGACAACAACAACAATCTGGAATGTAAACATGGTGCTTACAGTGTTTTCTGAGCGCTGAGAAGTTTTGCCACAACCAATGTTTGGCCTTGGGTGTGCAGCTCCAAACCTGCAGAGGCTAACACTTCCTGTTGAGTTTTCTTTAGTTTGAAGAAAAACACGTTTTATGCTTCATGGATTAATTTTTTAACCGTGTGCTGTGAATGCAGCTGAACTCGTAATGTAAGGAGGAGCTCGGTCCCTTAAAGGTAAACGCTTATAGTCAAAGAAAATGATGAATGTGCAAAAAAGTGGTAAACATTTAAAAAGAGCAAAACTTTTACACGATTAAGGAAACAAACTAAATGTTCAGTTATTTTAAATTAATGTAGATTTTTAACTAATGTGGCTAAAATAGTTTATCTAAATGAAGTGAGGGGCTTATTTTTAAATAACAAATAAGAACCTTTTTTTTTTAAAGATAGCTTCCTCTCTCTCACACACACACACACAGGTGATAATGGGAACCCACTTTGTTCCGCTGGGAGACCACTTGGCGCTGCAGTGCGCCTCTTGGACACTGCGCTGCGCACTCGGCGCTCAAACCTCCCTCCCCCTTCTCCCCTCCCCACCAGCTCTGAGAGCGCACGACAAGAAAAGAGGACGTTCATTCATCCTCCCGCGTGCCAGACACGCCGATGCTCGCCATTCCCTCCCCGACGTCTCCGAGCGGACACCGAGCGACCCGCCCGATCTGAGCCGGAGGTCCGATCATCTCCGCACCGGGGCGGTCCGGTCCGGTCCCTCCAGCCCACTCCTCCTCCTGTCCGAGCAGCAGGCAGCGCTCCGGATGCTGGACGAACGACCGGAGAGTTGTGACCAAGTGTGAGAAGCCGTGTCTCCGGGACAATGATGGAGGGGACGTCCCTGTGTCTCCCTGTTGTTGTCCTACTCCTGCACTGTAAGTAGACGTGTGTCTCTTCAGAGGAGGCTGGAGATGATTTAATCTCTGGGGCTTGGAGCTGATCCTGTTATTTATGGTGGTGTCAGTAGACGGACACACTCAATTAATGTAATGCTCTAAAACCATGAAGCAGTACGGTGGAGCTGAGTGGGGTAGAAACTTGAAACTGTTTTCTTGGACGTTGCCATGAGACCGAAAGTTGGGGAAAGAAAGGAGATGAATTTTTAAAGCCGCCCCTCATTTATCCATCTGTCTGATTGCTTGGGCTAGGTTGGACTCTATGCTTCACCAGCTGCCACCTTCAGAGGGTTCTGGTACCATCAGCCTGATTGTTCTGTTTTAGGGGAAAGGGGAAGTGTGTGTGGAAGGGTGTGTCTTGATTTTAAGGGACCCGAGCATCCCCCTCCTGATATCAGCCTCTCCCACTCACACACATGCTGTCTGCTTGAGACAGCTGTTGCTCCCATACAGCCAGGCTTTGTTCAGGACACACACATCCTGTTTTTCTTCATGCCCCCTCAGCCTTGAAACGTGTGCCATCCACTTTATCTCCTTCGCACAGCCAGACAGCATATTTCCTACGGGTCCACGTCCCTCCCTCCCCTCATTTGTCCCTTGTTAATTTGAATAAGTGCCTTAATTATTACTGCGCCATGCTTTTGACCTCCGCTCAGCCCTGGCAACACCCACCTCCAGTCCTCTGTAACACTCAGTACGGACCACGTAATGAGAATGAAGCGGCGTGCCAAGACTAGAGCGTGCCATCCTGTCTATTTTTGCTCAGGCAAGACGGTCGCTGTCCCTTTGAGCTTAAAGCTGCTGCCATGGCGTTTGGTGGATGTTAACACCGTACGCAAACAGAACAGAAGCATTTTAATTACCATAGTGGCTGGATCTGATGCTATATCGGTCCACCACCAGAGACCTGCGGATCTGCACACACGAATAACTTATCCAGACCTGTATAAACTACTTGGTAAAAAGATTTTTAGGTCTGTATCGGACAAAAGTCGCTCCATCGCAGTTTTTCTTGAACACTGATGAGTCTTGGGTTATTTCTGGCTCAGATGATGCTAATTGGAGCTGAATATTTTACTGTCAGGCATCTCTGACCCAGCCATATGCTGTAGAAACGGAGCAAAGTGGAATGGTTTCCTATTGATGTCTTCTCTTAATCAAGTCCAACTGAAACACCAAGAGAAGAGATCAGTGTTCAGATCTCATCACCAGCACTAGTTTAGTCCAGTGCTCTCTTACCATGGTCCTGGAGGAGCTCTATCCAGGATAGAGGTAGCAGAGCACTGGGCTTGTAGGATAATGGACTGGTGGCTGTGGAATTGGTCCCACAGCTGGTCTAGTTTTCACACCAATGTCAGATTATTTGCATTTGACCTCAATTCTTGTGGTTCTGGTTTCTTATGAGTCCCATCTGAGGCTGTTTCGGTCCTGGGGGGTTTGATTACATTTTGGATCTAAATGGACTGCTTTGGACATGCTTTAACCAATCAAACCCAATGACACACTTATTTTATTGGAACGTAAACCTTACTTTGGCTCATGCATGTGTTTGATTCACGGTTTAAATCGAAGGTGAAGCTTTGAAGCATTAAAAAAACATTCCTGCATACAGACTGTCCTTCCTAATTGGAAGAATTGGCTGCAACCGTAGCTGAAATGTGAAATTAGAGCTTAAGTGCATACTGATTTTCTGTAAGACACCCACAAGCCTGGCAGTTGTTAGACTTATCTTTGTCTGTGTTGAAACCTTAAAGGTGCATCTTGAAAGCTGTCGGATAAATATAGCCGAGAAGAAAGCAGACTTTTATTTTTTGAAAAACAATAGCTCGATGTAGAGATGCTCGATGTTCACACAGTCCTGAAACTATATTAGTGGAGTACTCCTCCGTGTTGACTTCTTAGACAGCAGAGATAAAGTAAACTACATTTGTTGGTCACCAGTGAGCCGAACAGTCCACATCTCTTGCCTCGACGCCTTTGTGGTTAATTGAGGTCATGTGAGCTGACGTTGTGCACGGCAGCAGAATGCACTGTGGAAGCAGTGGGAGTTAAGGCCCATTTGCTCGTTTTTTGATGTGTGTGCACACTTTTACGCCTGTTGTCATCCCTGTTATGTTTCGTTCTCTTCAAAGAGACTCCAATCAAGGTGGCAGCAGGCCTTGGGTCTCACACAGCTACTTCCATTCAGATTCCTACCATCGTAGAAGTCCCACTCCCTCTTTTATTCATGCCCCTGCGGGCCTTTCGTCCCTCTCTCCACCCCCTGCTACTCCTCTCCGCCGCACACTCCTTCACTCCATTTGTATTCTATTCTTAGGAACACTCATCTCTCCTTGATCGTTCATTCTTGTCCCCTTTTAATCTGATTGTAGTCTTCTTCCCCATCTTGTCCATGAGCTGGCGAGGCTCTCCGAATGGCTGTCGAGGTACACGAGATAAAGTTGCGATAATCCTGTTAAATCGCTGCAGGTCAACACACGTCAGAGTGACGGGAGCAGAGAAAGTCTGCAGGAAAGTGTTCACATACTTACAGGAAGCCAACGTTTGACCAAAGAAATTTGGTTCAAACTGTGCAAAGGGATTATTTGGGGGAGTTGTAGAGGGCTTCCTGAATGGCCTCAGTGTGGAGGTGGCTGTTTTCCTTGTAGAAGATAAATGTAGCATGTATGATGATTGCACCATTCTTTACAGAGGAGTGTAGTTTTGTAATTTTACGAAAGCCTATTAGTTTCTGTTGTTGATGGCCTTGAGAAACCCCGTTTACCCATCAAAACAAAAGTTAACGTACACTAGCTTTTTTATTTGTAATAAACCTTCTACTTTAAACAAAGGAAACCTTTAAAGTTCCTTTTGTTAAGTATAATTTCATATGTGTTTTGGTGTGGAACGCTAACAGCCGTGGTGTTGGGTATTAGTGTAATTAGCTGCTCGACTCTACTGGCATAGAAATCTAGACCGACGTGCAAAGCGAAATGATTTTGATTTACATGTCGGTCTAGCCACGCTCCACCGGACAGGTCAGACCAGCCTTGTGTAATGCCAATTACAACGCTCTATTGGTGTGGTGGGCGGGATGATGTGATGGAAAGGGACAACTAAGATGGTGGCGGCTTGATTGAAACAGCCTTGGCATAAACTTTGGACCATTTAGATTTGGCCTTTTCCTTCAGTCAAGAGCAGATAGCGGTACTTAAGTCCTTTATTAAGAAAAAGGATGCATTTGTGTCTTATTTGATCGGGTTTATCGGACTGCCACGTTGACTGACATCTATAGCGGTGAGTATGTCACAGTCACTGTCCAATAGCATACCACAGTTTGAAAGACAACTGCAGATTGCTTCTACGGCATTAAAGAACTATTTTGGTGTTTTAAAGTGTGTTTCTGTGTAAACGAACTGAAGATACCCAAGAAAAGTAATTACTGCCATTTGAAAACAGCTCAAATCACGCCACCAATACAGCTTAAACCTTTAATGTAATGTGTAAATGTTTGTAGAATAACATCTGCTGTGGGTTTTACAGACTGGAGCTGCTTTACGGTAGACTTTCTCTTGGATGCGTTCAGACCCCTAGAACGTAAACTATATCCACTCAAGGATACAAAAATATTTCTAGGTGGAAACACGTTTCAGCATGGCCTTTAAGGAAATGCTTTAAAAAAATAGGAGTTGCTGTAAGCTTGGTTTATGCAGCCATGCTGTTTTATTCCACCCATCCTGCCCTTTGTCTCCGCTTCCCCTGCATTCTTCAACATCACCTTCTCCCTATGCCGATAAAGCCCTCTAACTTTCCAGCTTGTGTTATAACAATGGACTGAGCACAGGAAGCTACAAACAGGAAGCTAAAAGGCTAAATGATTGTGTTTATTTTAAAATTCAGATTCAAAGATCGGATGTTGGGTGGCACTCACGCAGGCACATTTTTGAGTAATACACTTTTTTCTTCTCGGACAGCCTGCATAGTCTTAACTAGCCTGGCAAGCCAGACTAAATAAATAAGAATTTGGTCTAGTTGACTGGGCTATCTTTCAACCTCTTCTTGGTTGAATTGAATCCATCCCAGGATCAATTGGCGCACAGGAAAGGCAGCTTCCTCTTCCTGTTTGGAAGCTCGGTATCGGTGTCTCGCAGATGGCAAGGGGAATGTCCTCCATACGTCAGGCTAATCCAGAGCAGCCGTTGTCCAAACGATGGGTGACTTTGACCCAACCTGGGTTTAAATAAACATACGGCAATCTCCTCCTTGACCCGGCAGGATTAAGTAAGAGGAGGGAGTAATCCCATCTTTTTCCTCCTAGAGGAAAAAGACGCATGCTGATGTGACCTCTGATGTAACTGCTAGGGTCTAAAAACCAGTCCGTAGGAGACGACCATGTTAAGCACCAACGTCCCCTCATAGTTTCCTTCTGTTTCTATTCCCCACCACCCCCCAGGTTCCCCCTCCGTTCCTGTTACCGTGTCGACCACCAAGTCTAAAGTGGAAGTGGAGGAGTTCTCAGGTAAAAACACTTGATTTGATCCACCTTGACAGTAAACCAGACAGCTATAAATAGACCAGGCCATTAACAGTCCCTTGTTACTGTGGAAGAACACCTCACACCGGTCGCACTCACCCCTCTCTCTCTCTCTCATTTAGATGCAGTGCTGTCGTGTTTGTTCCACACGGAGAAAGACCCGTTCCCACGCATCGAGTGGAAGAAAACGGGGAAAGATGTCTCCTTTGTGTTCTTCAACGGACAATTCAGAGGTGAGAAGACGACCTGCCACTCTCTTCTGTCTGGTTGGAAGCGTGAAGGAGAGAAACCAGATGATAATGTGAGATATCTGAGCACGTCTGTGTGTTGATGTGTCATGACATGAAAGCTTAACCTGTCTATTTGTGAATTTAATGGGCGAATAACTGATGAAGTTGCTTTGAAAGGTTTTCCCAAATGGCGTTGACCCAACGTCCCCCGTTTTACCGCTCACATTAGTTAAGTGTGATGTGAATCCTTCCAACATAACTTATGTCCACTGGGTTTTAGGTTTTCCACCGACCCACCCGCTGAATTGTAATGTAAAACCAGTCCCTGTAGTCTCTGGATTTGTGTTTTGGTGGGATTTCCCACACGGACGGCCATCTTTAGGTCTTTATGCAGCTTTTCCGTTAGAATAAAATTGCAACTTTGGCTCTGTTGTCCCCAAACAGTTTATCTTTCAACCATTTATTGGGGTTAAATTATGTCTGCTGCCACCTGTGGAATTTTCTGGTAAGAATGTTTGGGTCATCAATGAGATGCAGACCCAAACCATGATGCTCTCACCACCGTGTTTTATTTTTATTAATGTGGACTAGGGTATTGTTGGTTCCTTTATATTTGTTCCCCATTCCTTATGTTTGGGTTTTCTAGCTCTAGGTCATGAAACAAAAGTCTTCACAAACTACTGGATTCACTAAAAAACCTTCATGCTTCTTCTCCATATAATCTAGACTTTGTGATCATCTTTTAAAAGCTCTGGAATACACACGTCTGTGTCTCTGCTTTAATGTAATGGAGAACATCTTGCTGCTACAGTTTTTGCCTCTTTAGTATTTTCTGCACACAGAAGCTTTAGCCTTCAGCCAGGAAAGACATTTCCCTTTCATGACCCGATATTCCTCTCAGGCTCCTTCGAGGACCGAGCAAGCATCGCCGGAGCGACCGTGACGCTGCACAAGGTGACCCAGGAGGACGCTGGAGAGTACCGCTGTGAGATCAGCGCTTCTCTAGACACCGTCAGCCTGGGAGAGACCAACGTCACGCTCAAAGTCCTAGGTACAAGCCCCAAACACGCCTTAGCTTTACTTTGAAGATTTACTTAAGTTTGGTCACCTTTTCGTTCCTAGTGCCTCCACACACCCCGTTCTGTGAAATCCCCACCTCGGCGGTGACGGGCTCAGGGGTGCAGCTGCGCTGTCGGGACCAACAGAGCGTCCCACCTGCTACTTACTCCTGGTTCAAGGACAGCAGGCGGATCAGCGTGCCCCACCATGCTAATGCAACGTATCTCATCAACTCCCACACGGGAATACTGGTGAGATATTATGCATGCAGATTTTTTAAACGATAGGCGACTGCTGCTGTGTGCGTTAGGAGATATTTTACACTTTCTCCTTCATGCAGAATCAGATGAAATGGAGGTGAGATAAAGGTGGTGAAGTTCTGAGCATTTTCCTCTGCAGGAGTTTAAATCTGTAACCAAAGAGGACTCTGGCCGCTACAGCTGCCTGGCGTCAAACGGGGTGGGATCGCCCAAAATGTGTGAGGGCAAGCACATGACAATAGGTGTGTTTGTTCTCCACCTGTCATCATAATCACTGCTTAGAGCTCCATAATGGCTGAAATGTCCCTTTAAATATTGAAAACACCTTTTATGCTTCATCTTGATGTGATAATGAATCTATTTTGGGAAATATCACTTAGTTTAAAAGCGTCCTTGTATACAATTTATTTTATCTTACCAAGTCACCATTTATGCACCTGATGAATTATACACAATAACAATAGTTATTCTAAATGAAACCAGCAGATCACTTCTCCCTTCTTGTGTCCAGAGGACGTCAACGTGACGGCGGTGGTAGCCGTAGTGATGGTGGTCTGTCTACTCGTCGTGGTCTGCGGCTGCGGCGGGGTCCTTTTGCACCGGAATGGCTTCCTCACCCGTAAGCTTCATCTCCTTTCCACCCACACAAACTGTAAAGGCACTATAATTCTGTCCAAAAGTGACTGACACTCGGTGTGTTTTGTCTGACATGTCTACGACTCATCCATCGTCATCAGGACACAGAGGGAGGTAAGGGCTCGGCGTGATTGATGTGAACAAACGCCAACATGTTACACACTGAGGGGGAGCTGAGTCAGGACCCAGTTATCATCCACACATTACACACGTTTGCTGAATTTAAGCTAACATGTTGCTGAAAGAAAGGAGAGAAGCGAAGGAGAGATGCTCAGAGCTACGTAATTAGGGATTAATTACTCGCTGTTAATCAGCAAGGAGGACAATATTGGCAGCAGAGACGACTGCAGGCAATTAAACTGATTGGACGGGTTAATTTGAAATGGATTATTCAGATATTAAAGGATGAGACTTTTGGTCAGACAGAAAGATGTTCCTGCAGTGCTTTTACACACAATCACCTGAGTGGATGTGGGGACGTTTGGACGCCTGACTGGTCACGGAGACATGGACGTGTGTCCTCATGCGGCCGACTTGACTTTATGTTATTTGATTACTGGCCTGTTACTGCTCCGAGTTTGACGGGGAGCTCTCCTTTGAAGCTGATGTGAAAGCTCTTTTGTCTAGGTTAAAGTCTGATGCTTCTACCACTGATCTAACTGGAGCTGTCAGTGTCAACTCACTATTTATAGAACAGGCTTCTTCACAAAGACTCCCAAGACGGTGTGACATGATTTCTGATGCACTGCTAGAGTGGGAAGATGGCTTAGTCTTTTGGGAGTAAACGGAGAGGCACAAATAGTTTAGGTCCATAAGTGGGCCGAACAGTGTTCCATGAGGAACCCCAGTTTCTTAAAGATAAGATTTAAACCCAAGTTTTGATTTGTTTAACTCTAATGTCCAATAAATTCTCAAAAGTACCTTTTAGGATCATTTTTGTATGTTGTGTTCTGAGACACTAACACTCATGTCTGAAAAGATTTGTAATTTCTAACTCCAGGGCATTGGTTTGCTGCATGTGACTGGCTGCATGATCCCACAACACTGACAGATTACTTCAGTAGATTTGAAACGAGTAATACAAAGTTTTATCATGTGTTAATAGCTTCCTGAACAGACTCAGTTTGGATAAATGAAGATCTGGTGAGCAGCAATTGACCCTTTGCACCTATGTTACCTGATCACATGGGTCCACCATGTCGAACGACAAAAGCATTTGAGAGAGAGCAAGACAATGTTTTTTGGTCATTTTGTGTGATGTTGAGCATGGCTTCAACTAGTTGCCAGTTACCGGAACAAGTAACGCATTTAGGTGGGGAAACAGTGAATTGTGGGAGTATTGAACGGAGTGGAAAAGTCACGACTGAGGCTGTTTTTTTCCAGTTTAGACTGGTTTCTGCAGGTTCAAGCCCAGTTCACTTGTGGGAAGATTAAGCACACCTAGGTGGAGCTTAGAGAGAGAGCAGTACTTACAAAAGTTAAGTGTTAGCTAGCTTACGTTCACGGGTGAATCAATTGTGTCGGAGAGGGGAAACAACAAAAACATGCTGGATACCAAACCTCAGGGAAGGGAGTTGGGGACCAATGCTCTGTCGTTACCAGAAGCTAGAAACTGTCCAGACATGTATTTAATTTATATATTGGTGGCAAGTTGGGGACCTCCATACATTCGCTTGCTGAATCAGTCATCTATAGGACATGTTGACTTTAGCTATGGTACATTTCAAGCTGCCTTTATTTAACAAGGTAAATGCGGTTAACTCTAGGACCCTTTAAGTACGTTGGCACCATTCAATATCCCACATCATTAACACCCGCTCCAGCATGGTGTGCACTTGGAGTGCGATCCTTTGAAAGCCACTTCCCTGACACCCCACCCACCCCCACAGGTCCTTTTGGATCTCCCAGTGCCACGGCGCGGCCCACATCAGCAGCCAAACCCTACACAGAACTGAAGACACGTGAGTGACACGAGGACTAATTTACAGCTGTTAGAGATTAAAACTGATTAGTGGCACAGACTCCAGGAAGTAGTCCCCCCCACATTTCCACATATCAGAAAATTTGAGGCACAACAGTTTTGTGTGGATTAAACTAATGAGATAAAGTGTTAATTACAGAGCTGTTGAACTGCTGCTAATTAGGTTTGTTTGACTCTTGGAGAATACTTGCTCACGCGAGGTTTAGTTAAACCTCCAGCTTGCCAATTGTGTTTGAAGAAAAGCCACCGTAGAGCAATAGTTCCAACCTGGGGTCCATGAGCCCTCAAGGGGTACCAACAAGATTGCAGGGGGGCTGGCTTGTCTTAGGCACATGCAAGGAAGTCCTTGTAGAAAAAGATTGGGAACCACCGCCCTGTAGCATATCCACAGCTGCTGCTTCACAGCTCTTGGACATCGTTACAGGTGGAGGCATGAGCAAGTCCTTAAGTGGATTCAGTCAAAAGACCATCAGGAGGCATTCTGACCCTTTCTAGAGATTGGAAGATTTTGGTGGATCTCAAACAACAGCTGAAGATCCCTCAGCCCAAACATTTAGCCTGAGGCTACTAAGCAAGCTTTGCTGTTGAGCTAACCGTTCCCTGGAAAGATTGCCTGGAAGAAGTCTGAGAGGAACCTCTCCAAGTACGCATGATCGGTTAGCAACTGTCAGCAGGCTGGATGGAGAGCAAGGTGCTTCCTAGTGAAAGTTGGCTGCAGGGGTTTTGTGGCTAGATCGCTGGTTATAGTGCTGACCAACCTTAGCATCAAGGAAGAACAAGAGACGAGCCATCCGCAGTACCATTGTATGTTTAGTAAGTCGTCGCCTTGTCGGTATGGACAGTGTCTGCCTCAGAAACTGACCGTTACAAAGAGAGTCCAGAGCCAATCACATTTGCCTTCTTCACTGATTTTTAAAAGTAGCCAATCTGCATAAAATAAATTCCCGCTGCTCCTGAGACCACAGAGCCAATCGGATTCCTCTCATGCATATGTTTATTGGCTCTAATAGTCAGGAGGAACAACAGGATTGTGTTTACAGGACTGCTAACATGTTAGATATGGAACAAAGACTCGTTTGCCTAGAATAAAATATATTTGGTAAAAAAGAAATGTGGTAATCCTCCCAAAATCTGACTCCTGGACAAAAAGCACCAATTATTCTCTAAAAAAAACCTTTCCTACCCCATTCGGGATTAAACGAGACATTGTTTGCCTTTTATGTTGATGATTCGGCACTACAAATTAAGTCGGCCAATCTGGGTAAATAGTAAATGTAAGGATTTTGCTGTCTGCTGATGATACTGTTTTGATTGAAGATGAATTAAACCTGCAAAAAATGTTGGACATTTACCAAAACTATTGATCAATTGGTTTTTATGTGGTCATAAGTTTGAGTTTAATTTAAATATCACCTCTACTATAAATAATTTATAGTTTTCATGCTTATTGAGATATAATGACAGAGGGACTTAAAATAGAAATAATCCAAGAAAAAGCCTCCAGCCAGTCTGACCATCGTTTTATATGCAGGACAAGAAGTGAGTCAGGCTGCAGCTGTCTGATGTTCTGACCACATCTTTGTCTTTCAGGTCCAATGTCAACTACATCCCACCACCTCAAGAGGTAACGTACTTTCTAATCTGTAATATCCCACACAGCAGCATCTGGCCACAAATTATCAAGAAGCAGCTGCAAATCGAAGATTAGCAGGATTTAATTCCTGTTTTTCTGCCCCTTTAGCCCCAAGATTTCAAACACACACAATCATTCATGCTGTGAGAAGCTGGCCTTCCTTCGATGTACAATGACACACCCCTAAAATGAGGTGCCAACACTGGATTATTTTTTGCCCATCTGGATTCAGATTGAGCTTTTGATCATCAAACGTAAGAAATCTCAGTCTCTTTCCTCCTCTGCTCATTTAGGCTTTTTGAATGCAAGTTACAAGGCTTCTTGTTTTTCTCCACTTTTAAGGGACTATTTCATTTTTATGGTATTTTGCTGCCCCCTGCTGGTCAGATACTACAATTAGTCATTAAGGATGAGCGGATTTAGTTTGTTTTTTACCAAAGGAAGCTAATCAAAGGGAGAATTTGAGAAACCATAGTTTGGTTTTTGAAAACTCAGACTAAAAAGCAGCTTACCTCTATTGTCTCAGGCCCCGGCGTCATTATTACTGGGGTAATGAGATTTTAATCAGCTAATTCCACTGAGACCAGTCCCATTCCATCCTGATGTGCCTGCATGGTCTTGTTTCTTTTTATAAATATACTCCTGTATCTACAGTATACCTTGTGCCTTTTTAATTTCTCATTTATCTCTGGATCACTTTTTTGTAAAAGAACTTGCCTTACTTTTCTGTCTTTATATATTCTTGTGCCACAGTTTATTAAATGAGGTGTGTTGACTGTGTGTGTGTGGCTGAATTGTTCAGAGTTTTATTTGAACTGTGTATCAATAATAAAATAAAAATGTTTTCCAATAAAAAATTGCTTGTGGTCCAAAAATAAAAACTGCGGAGAAGGTTCTGTAAACGACAACATTGTTACTTTATGAGTAATGATGAAAGATGGTATTCATACCAGGAGGACTACTGGCACAAACGGACACTGGGAGTCTAGAAAAATAAATTGTGGACAAATGTGCTCACACACAAATGAGCCAATGCAAGAGCAGCACAGGGTGCCACTGGTCAAGCACAGCAGAGGCAGTGTGATGGTTTGGGGTGCTTCGAGGCCCAACAGCATCACTGCAGCTACCATCCCTCTATGATGTGCACTTGGAAGTGCATGTAAGGCTACAAACCGTAGGAAACAAAACAGCAGAATTGGGACAGAGCATTGCATCAACCTGTGCCTACCCAAGTCACGGTTTGTACTAATTTTCTGCTTATGATTAACCTAGACGGACAGTAGCTGAGGCAAAATTGTTTTGCTCTGTGTGGTGGTCTAGCCACGCTTCATTAGAGCTCAGCAGGTCTACCATTGGCCTGAGCAGTATTGTGTTATGCCAATCACATCGTTCAGTTTGGTGGGCGGGACAGTGTAACAAGGTGGCAAAGGCTCGACCATCGACATATATATATACTGGACAGTTCCTGTCCATAGGCTCGTTAAAGTTTTTAATCCGAAATGGGAGGTGGCCACCACCGCCATTTTGATAATGTCACACGTCAAGTTTTTAATCCGAAATGGGAGGTGGCCACCACCGCCATTTTGATAGTGTCACACGTCTCGTCACGCCCAGACAATTCCATAAAAGGGAAAAGAGGCGGAGCTGAGGGTGGGGCTGTAAGGCTGGGATCAAATGACACCTGTCGAACTGAAGCGATGTCGTTACAAGCTAACCCAAAGCTCTGACACCAGCCCCCAGCGGATGAGGGTGGAACTGCAACTTTTGTCACGTCCTGTTTTGCTTAATATCAGACACGAATTATGGGGGCTTGGGCTCGACTGAAACAACTTTGGCATCAAGTTCAGAAAGAGGTACTGAAGTCCTTTATTTAGAAAAAGAACGTATTTGCAACTTCAATAGTGTATGGCGGACTGCCATCCATAGTGGTGAGTATGTCAAGTTCATTGTCCAATAGAGTGTGAACAGTTTGAAAGACAATTAGTTTCTACCCAAGACTTAACTGCCTATGGGTTGTGACATTTTGTAGACGATAAATTATGCTACATTTCACTTGAAATACATATTTTCGGAAAGGGCACTTGGTTTTGGGTAATAGGGAGTTAACTATTGCGATAGTGTTAATTATTGAGCTGTTGAACTACTACATTTGTTTGACTCTTGAAGGAAACGTGCTCACACAGGTTTAGTTTTCTCCCCATCTTGCTAACAGAGCCCAAGTACTCTCCCGTTCTAGTCCCAGAACTAAAAAATAAAAGCAAGTCAAGGAGGCTGAAAGAGCTATTTTCTAACCCACTTTCCCTTCCGCCCTCAATCGCACAGATTTTGTGCTTCAATTTAAATAAAAAGTAATTGTGTGTTTAGACCACGTCAGTCTTGTACTTTGAGATTTATTAGCTTCTAAAACTTCTTAAGTACAATTACTACAAATCAGACGCTGGCACGTTGCAAATATGACAACACGTTATCTCCTCTCCCCCTAGCATAGCTGCTACATACCACATATGAAGATTTATGGTGGTTCTTTCCTCTTGGACGAAGGATTTGAAGTTCGTTAAACTTGGACGTTTTTCCTCTGCTCTTCTTGGTTCGATTTTCACACAAAACCTAAAATTAAGTTTCCCTCCGTTCAAAAATGAGCACATTCTTGGTATCAAAATGTGTCTAAAATTACCCGACATCATATGTGAAATCCATGGCACATACGAAGCTAACTTAGAAAACAGATTTTTTTTTTTAGCACCATTGACTTGCATTCATTTCTCCGATCTTTCGGAGACTCGTGATCCGGAAGTGGATGAGTGAGACTTAAGCTCCCTGTACCTGAAGGCCGCAATGCTGCAGACTTTGGCGAAGTGCAAATCAAAAATCTAAAAGATGCAGGGCCAAGGTCCACACTAGAGAATTGGGACTCCCTACGAACTTGCGCCTGTGGACGAGAACACGCGTTGCGATGCACAAGGGTGGAAGTGCAATTGTTGACTCTCTCGCTTCAATTTGACCCAGAAAATGTCCTGTTCAGTTGCTCAAGTTCCTGCCAAGTATTTCTATGGAAACCAAGACAGGAGCTATAACGTCATGAGAGCTGATTATAATCTCTGTTTCCGAAACAAAATGCATCTTTAAACAAACAAAATGCCTAACGAAGCGTGTGGATTCCCGTAGAGGGAAACAACTGGGCGACTTTTCATGAATTTTTCAAGTATGGCGACTCTAAGCAGGAATGTCGCATTTTGCCCAGAGCAAAGCAAGATTAAATAAAAACAGCTACAATCACCCGCCTCATCCTGTGAGCTCCGGACCTGAGAGAGCGCGTTTTAAAGCATCGCTACGCACTCGTAAACATTTTAAGCTGAAGATGGAGCCTTTTTGATGCTATTTTGAGTTTGAAACATTTCTCCTCAAGAGGATTAAACGCAACTCCAGACCTTGTCACAATGTGACTAATTCAGAGTGACGGCCAATTTCTATCCAGGTCAGTCAACATCTGGCTCACTGGAATTCTCCATTTTAAATAAATACTGGTTAAAAAAACTAGTTTGGATGTTCTGGGAGGCTGAAAGGATTTATTTTTTGGGATTATTGTTGAATTTGAAAGGTTTGGTGAAAAAAAAAACAAGCTAAATGTCATCTCTGTAGCAATAATAGAAAAAAATAAAATAATTTCACATTTCTATTTTTAAATACTGTCACTAAGTTTTTTTTATTCTTCCTTTGGACTTTGTGAAGAACGCAATGACTAATAGGGCAAAAAATGTGTTTTATAGGTAAAGACTCCTTGAACTTTTATTAAATACAACATCTTGGTGACGAGTAGGAGACAAACGTCTTCACTTGGGACTTTCGTCGAGTTTTGGCTCTGTGGAAAAAGAAAAATAAATTAGGTTGGTTTTCTTTGCCACAGCTGCACAAATAAAATCAGAAACATTGTTGAAAGCTTCCCAAGGTGATTTCAAAGCCCCTCCCCCTCCGTCACCATCCTTTCTATTTATAGAGTGGAACAAAGTCGTGGGTGACGGTGCATCTGCTCAGAGGCACTGCGTAAATATTCATGAGACGGGACGGTAAGCTGTCACAGCTAAACCCGTCGTAATAATCATGTTACAGTGCCGCTGCAGCTATTAGTGCCTTTACTGCCTGAAGCCAAGTGTGTGCAAACTGCTGACTGCATAATATTTACCCTCTGGGGACATAATGAAGCACTTCCCTTAATTAGATTTCTAAATCAAGACGGTGAAGGATCCATATTTCATAAATAACCTTCTCCTGGGTGGCGTACCACGAAGCAGCAGCACCAAAAACTTTAACCAACCAGGACAAAACACTCCTGAATGGAGGTGGAGATAAAGTCACCTGTGAATTTGAAGTCGGGGAACTTGTTCAGGTCTCCTCCGCCGTATAGCCTCTGCAGCTTGACTACTTCCTCAGACACGTTCTTCTGGTAGGCCGGACCCGCGTCCACGATGCCGCCAGCCGTCCTGAGGCACCAAAGGGTAAGGGTGAGGTATGAAGCTAGCAAACTAAAGCCAGTGTCTGTCTGGGCGGGGCTCATGGTGGCGAGCTGGAATGGGGGTGGGGGGATTTTTAGCGATACCGGTGGGGATGCTGATATCTCTTCTAAAATGTCCCCAATAACGACAACATCTCTGAACCGGAATCAGTTTTAAAATCAGATTTTAATCTTTAATTTATTTTTTTGCACCACACCGAATTAAAATTCCATTCCATTCCATTCCATTTATTTGATAAAGCACATTTAAAAACAGCATGTGAGCTGACCAAAGTGCTGTACAGGGGTAAAAACATATAAGGTTAAAAGAATAATATAAAAGAATAAAACAACTAGAGCAAAACACAAAGAACCAACAATGAGAAGTCAATAAAATCAGTAAAAGAACAGTGTAAATAAACCATCGATAAAATAGCTAGATAGTAAAAGCAAGAGAATAAAAGTAAGTCTTTAAGTGAGACTTAAAAACCCCAATGGAGGAGGAGAGTCTGATATGCAGCGGGAGATCATTCCAGAGTTTTGGAGCGCAGACAGAAAAAGCTCGTTCACCACGGGTTTTGCAGCGTTGACGGGGAATCTTTAATAGGTGTAGGTCACCTGAACGGAGAGTCCTGCCTGGCACATAAGGAGTGAGTAACTCGGATATGTAGGGTGGTGCTAAGCCATTCAGTGCCTTAAAAACAAACAATAAAATTTTAAAACGTATACGGTAGTGCACAGGAAGCCAGTGAAGTCTTGCTAAAATGGGAGTGATGTGCTGCCGACGGCCAGTATTGGTCAGAAATCTTGCTGTCGCATTTTGTATCAGCTGAAGGCGAGATAATGCGGCTTTTGAAATGCCAAACAGAATTGCATTGGAGTAGTCCAACCTTGAGGTGATGAAAGCGTGAATGGTTGTCTCGAGGTGGCGCCGATTCAGAATGGGTTTTAGTTTGGAAAGACGTCTCAGCTGATAAAAACATGATTTAACCATTTGATTAACGTGAGGGTACATTTTTAGAGCCACATCCATTTTAATTCCAAGATTAACAATTGTTTGACTAATTTTAAAAGGAAGAGCAGAAAAATCAGGAGCGGAGGAAGACAAGCCATTAGGAGTAAAAACAATAAACTCGGTCTTAAAATCATTCAGGAGCAGAAAATTTGCTGACAGCCAGTCCTTAACCTCACTCAGGCAGTCAAGGAGCGGCTGGATGGAGGTAAAAGCCTTCAATGGAACATAAATCTGGCAGTCGTCCGCATAAAGATGAAAGTTAATGTTAAACTTCCTGAAGATTAGTCCCAGTGGAATAATATAAATGCTAAATAAAAGGGGGCCGAGGATAGACCCCTGTGGAACGCCCCAAGGAAGAGCAGCAGAGGGAGATGAACAGTCGTCCATTCTAACTCTAATAGACCTGTTATCAAATGACCCATTTAACCAAATGTAATCAAACAAACCAATAAACTAACCAAGTGTTAAAAGATGCAAACATCAGCTCTTTTAGAGCGTTCTTTACAGCCGGTGAGGTTGTTTAGGTCAAATTCAGGATGAGCACCGAGCTGCCCGCAGATGTGCCCGACTTTAAAGCAGCCTGATTTATCGTCTATCCCTCGTCACAAAGGGTCTGATTTTGTTTATTTTGAACAATGCAGATCAAACTGGTTCACCGTTAGCTCGTTAGCTCCTCTCACAACTCGTTTCGGCTATTTCAGTCTCCCTCCTTTTTCCCGCTCTTCGAGGGTCACAGAAACTAAACCGAGAGGCATTTGAGACGAGCTCCAACACCTGTGACGACTGATTATTTCAAAAGACATTTTTCACACGGGAGGAACCAGAGAACCCTCGCAAAGATCTGGAGACATTTTGGAAACTCACTTGTGAATCACAGTTCCGTACGACACCAGCTTTAACCACACACCCTGAGAACACTTCACATAGTTCACATTAATGATTACAGGAAACAGATGATGGCTCTAATTAAGAGAACATGCTTAACTGTTAGGGTGAAAGGCTCAAAAACTCGCTCTGCGCTATAATAATATTTAATCAGACTTAATCAAATGTAAATAATTATTAAATATTCCCAGACTCATGTGTGGGTTTAAGGATCTTCAGGGTAAATCTGGCATACGGTTAAAAATGTTTCAGCCTGTTTTATTTAGTTAAATTATATTATAAACCACAGAAACATTAAACCTCCCTACAGACTTTTAACTTTTTATTCTAACTGAAGATGACTCATCTGTGTTACCATGGAGATTTAGCCTCCTTCACGAGAAAAACAAACCAGTCATTTATTCAGCTGAGATCTTAATCTGGCTTCACCCTTCAGAGAGTAGCCTTTACTGCCCGAGTCTTACAAGTCTGAATGTGGTAAAACCTCTCCTAGTCTACGGTGCAGGAGTTTCCGGTTCGGGACTGACTTGCTCTTGTTGCTGTAGTCCCGGATCTTGTCCAGGAACAGTTTCTGGATGGGGTCGAGGTCCTTGGCTTTGTTGAAGACCACGGCGGACATGCCGATGTTCCTGCGCAGTGTCAGGCTCACTGCGGATCGCAGCACAGACGACAGCTGGAATAACCGATGGAGCGCCATCTGAAGGAGCAGAACCATCCGGGTTAGTGTCTGATCTGGTTACCAACTCATCCTGCACAGGTGCCTGTGGCTTCAGCAGCTGGGTCACACTCATAAACACCATATGAAGCTGCTAAGATGACATTTAAAAAAAATCCCACAATCTTAGGAATTTGTTAAATTATACATTAAAGATGCTCTGATTTATACTCGTTCATCACATTTGAGGAATCAGAACATTACGTCACTAATAAAGCAATAACGTTCAATCCATAAAAACCTAAATAAGCTAGCTTTATGTAGGAAGTAAAAATAACTCCCACTTTATTCCATTAACGTTCAATACTTGGGAGCTTCCAGCATTTTAGTGACAACGACTTTGTTTTACAACAATAGATTTTTTTGTTTTATTTTAGTTCTATAACTCTAATAAAGTCTAAAGTTTTCATTTCACAAGGACGTTCTGCTGCTAGCCTACGATAGCGCTAGCACTCACTAGCATCTTCATAGCTAATAACCTAGAAAGCAACTAAACTAAATTATCCTTTTAACTCATAACAAAAACGTGACGATACGTCGGCCACAGCTGCGTTCATATTGTTGATTTTACGGGTTGAATGTGTCGAGCTAAAGGTAAAGCTTTTGTTTCATGCACACGAACACCTGCTAAAGCTAAAATGCTAACGGAGTTTTTAATCCCTAAATTAAAAAAATTCTAGATTATTTTTCCACAACTGGGGATAATAAAGAGAACGTGCGGATTAACGAGAGAGCGACACTGTGGCAAATATGGTCTGGTTAGACTTTTCTCGGCAGTTAGCTCTTAAAGCACTTCTCACCTTGGGATTGACACTCGGAGCTGATTCCAAATGTGGAAGACCGGAGACGCAGTGGATTATGGGGGAAAAAAGACGTCAAAATGCGCATTTGCGTTACGTACTGAACGCCAGCGCGGTTGCCGTGTCGGCCAATCGCCATCTTGGATGGGTCTCGATTCGCCCCTAGTCAATTTAGTTTTACTGAGGAAGATATTTATAAGTAACATTTATAAGAAATATAATAACTACGAAAATACCTAGAATAATTTATGACAAGTTATCATTTTTTCGGACAATCATGATTACATGACGAGACAGACAAGTGACATAAGGTGTGCACTACCGCGCTGCAGAACAAATCAAAGGCAAAGAGCGGTTTATTACAGAGCCATGGTTGCATGGAATGCCATACCGAGATTTTTGTTATTAGAGAATAAGAGAAGATGTTTACAAAATAAGTTAAAGCTTTTTGTTGTTTACACAACAGTAAATTTTGCACAATGAATTGTAAATGTGACTGATATGACAGCTTCTATAGTTTTTGTTTGTTATGGAAGTGATGTGATATGATTTCAGATTCTTAGATACAGTGGCGGTTCTACATGAAGTTTCTCCCCGGGCGAGGCCCCCTTTGAGCCCCCCCCCCCCCCCCCCCATATGCATACACATACGTACATACATACATATACATACGTACATACATACATATATGCAAACACATACGTACACACATACATACATACATACATACATACATGCATGTATATATATATATATACATACATACATACATGTATATATGTATACATACATACATACATACATACATGTACGTACGTACGTACGTACTTTTCCGGAACTGCGCTGTTCTGGGTGGCTGCATGTTGGAGTAGCTCTGTTGACTATATGTAAGTTTAGCCTTTTCATGGGCATTTTTACTTTTAGTTTCTCAAGAAAAACTGTATTTTTTGGGACATTTTACTTTTCTGTTTATGGTGCTGTGAAGCTTGGAGGATTTTTACAGCTATTTTTTTAAGCTTTTTTCACTTTTTGAGCATTTGTTATTATGCGTAACCATGGCAACAAGCTGGTTTACAATCAGGAGCAGCTGATTAACATTGGAAAGGCTGAAATAATACCTCATTTGAAGCCACAAATCCCAAATGAGCTCAAACGCAAGAAGCATGGGTGCAGAGCGGGAGCAAAACGGAGACAGAGAAAGAGGAAATTCAAACCATCTCTTCCATCAATCATAATGGGCAATGTGAGATCACTGGCCAACAAGATGAATGAACTCCAAGCCCTTTCAAGGACTCAGCCAGAGTATCGGCAGTTTCGGAACCACTGGAGGAGAGAATCAAGAAAATTATGGACAACCCTGAGCATTCTCTTCACAAGACTGTCCGACAACGGAAGTGTCTTCAGTCAGATTCTTCTTCAGTTTCGCTGCAACACTGACCGCTACTTGAGATCCTTTCTGCCAACAGCCATTAATTTACAATAACTCTTTGATGATTTGATTATTATTATTATCCTGAGCTACTACAGCAATCAATTTCCCTCTGGGATTAATAAAGTATTTTTGAATTGAATTGAATACATACATACATGTATGTATGTATATACATATATATATATATATATATATATATATATATATATATATATGCATACACATACATACAAACATACATGAGGACAACACTGAGACATCCTCAGAAAGTGCCAGCAACGACTCTTACCTCCTGAGGAAGTTGAATTCATTTGGAGTCAGGAAGGACATTTTACTGACTTTCTATTATTCTTTTATAGAGAGTGTTATCACATTTTTCATCCCCTGTTGGTCTTATTCTGTCAGCCTGAAGTATAGAAACCGTCTACAAAGCACAGTCAAGGTGTGCTCTCGGATCATTGGAGTACCACTGCAAAACTTAACTTCTCAATGTAACCAGCATACAGGAAGTTTAGCACAGAAAATCATTAAAGACCCATCACATCATAATGTTTTCGAGTGGCTGCCCTCCAAACGCCGACTTCGATGTCCGTGCTGTAAAACACAGAGAAGTTCCTTTGTTCCCAGAGCTGTGCTTCTTCTTAATTCTTAGTGCCGATAGGGGGCGTGTGCATTACTTGTATGTGTGCGTGCATGTAGTTACGTGTGTGTGTGTGTGTGTGTGTGTGTGCGTGCGCCAAAGGTTTACTCATTGTTGGTCATTCACATGTGAGGTTATGACATGAATGCGTACAGTGGGGCAAAAAAGTATTTAGTCAGCCACCAATTGTGCAAGTTCTCCCTCTTAAAATGATGACAGAGGTCAGTCATTTACATCATAAGTACACTTCAACTGTGAGAGACAGAATGTGAAAAATAATCCATGAATTCACATGGCAGGATTTTTAAAGAATTTATTTGTAAATCAGGGTGGAAAATAAGTATTTGGTCACTAACAAAAATTCAACTCAATACTTTGTTACATAACCTTTGTTGGCAATAACAGAGGTCAAACGATTACTATAGGTCTTTACCAGGTTTGCACACACAGTAGCTGGTATTTTGGCCCATTCCTCCATGCAGATCTTCTCGAGAGCAGTGATGTTTTGGGGCTGTCGCCGAGCAACATGGACTTTCAACTCCCTCCACAGATTTTCTATGGGGTTGAGGTCTGGAGACTGGCTAGGCCACTCCAGGAATTTCAAATGCTTCTTACGGAGCCACTCCTTTGTTGCCCGGGCGGTGTGTTTGGAATCATTGTCGTGTTGGAAGACCCAGCCACGTTTCATCTTCAAAGCTCTCACTGATGGAAGGAGGTTTTGGCTCAGAATCTCACGATACATGGCCCCATTCATTCCTTCCTTAACACGGATCAGTCGTCCTGTCCCCTTAGCAGAAAAACAGCCACAAAGCATGATGTTCCCACCCCCATGCTTCACAGTAGGTATGGTGTTCTTGGGATGCAACTCCGTATTCTTCTTCCTCCAAACACGACAAGTTGAGTTTATACCAAAAAGTTCTACTTTGGTTTCATCTGACCACATGACATTCTCCCAATCCTCTGTTGTATCATCCATGTGCTCTCTGGCAAACTTCAGACGGGCCTGGTCATGCACTGGCTTCAGCAGCAGAACACGTCTGGCACTGCAGGATTTGATTCCCTGCCGTTGTAGTGTGTTCCTGATGGTGACCTTTGTTACTGTGGTCCCAGCTCTCTGCAGGTCATTCACCAGGTCCCCCCGTGTGGTTCTGGGATTCTTGCTCACCGTTCTCATGATCATTTTGACCTTACAGGAAGAGATCTTGCGTGGAGCCCCAGATCGAGGGAGATTATCAGTGGTCTTGCATGTCTTATTTTCTGATAATTGCTCCCACAGTTGATTTTTTCACACCAAGCTGCTTGCCTATTGTAGATTCACTCTTCCCAGTCTGGTGCAGGTCTACAATTCTTTTCATGGTGTCCTTCGAAAGCTCTTTGGTCTTGGCCATAGTGGAGTTTGGAGTCTGACTGTTTGAGGCTGTGGACAGGTGTCTTTTATACAGATAATGAGTTCAAACAGGTGCCATTAATACAGGTAACGAGTGGAGGACAGAAAAGCTTCTTAAAGAAGATGTTACAGGTCTGTGAGAGCCAGAAATTTTCCTTGTTTGAAGTGACCAAATACTTATTTTCCACCCTGATTTACAAATAAATTCTTTAAAAATCCTGCCATGTGAATTCATGGATTTTTTTTCACATTCTGTCTCTCACAGTTGGAAGTGTACCTATGATGTAAATTACTGACCTCTGTCATCATTTTAAGTGGGAGAACTTGCACAATCGGTGGCTGACTAAATACTTTTTTGCCCCACTGTTTATAGGTTTTATGGGTTTTACGAATGTGTAAATTGGTTGGGTTTTTAGAATTGAGAGATTTTAGTGCCGGCTGCTTCACAATGCTGTCTCGAATTGCCCCTCGGGGACTAATAAATTTGTCTTGAGTCTTGAGTCATCTCAACTTTTCATTCCGTCTTCCAGGAACCCGCTTCAGTTTCAGACCTGCTGTAGTCTAGAGTTTTCTAAAGTTTCTGAAGGAGACAAAAAGGTTCAACAGTCAGCTCTGTATGTACATTCAAAACTTTATTATGGAATACAGTGTAGAAAGCGTTTCTCAGTCAATGCAAATGGCCTGCACAGAATTACACAGTGGAAAACAAAAGCAATCAACAGCCCACAGAAGATAAAGAAAACCCTGCTTCCTCTTCTACTCTACTGCCCTCTGTTGGGCATCTACCCAAACCAACGCTTCACTCACTGAATCACCATTATGACCAGTATGAGGTCTCACTGTGTCTATACATGTAGTGTGTTGATGGTGAAGATGGCTGCCTCGCTCTCGGCTCCTGATGCTTAACGCCTACACATCTATACGCCTGCTCCTGCTCCTCGGAGCAGACGGCGGAGAGGGGAGCAGAGATGGAGGAGGGGAGTGGAAATCCATTACATACACAGATTGCCAGGCTGGCTGGCTGGCTACCCATCCAGAACTTTGAGTCATTTCCTCTCCTCCTCTTCCTCCTCCTGCCCCTCAACGCGCCACCTATTCAGTCCTCAGAAAGCAAAGAGAGACGTCTCAGAAAGGGACAGAAAATAACGCACACATGCAGAAACATTCCCAGCATTCCATTCTTCACGACCACAGACCTTCATCAGAACCACGGAGCCATCAGGAGTGAGTTCTGATTTGAAACACAAACGCAGCTTCAGGAAAAAAGTGATTGAAAAAGAGGAAATGAAGCCCAAACCCTCCTGATTAGTGCGTCTTTACAGGTCATCAGAGCAGAGCCCGTCCCTCTACTTCATATTCACCTCGTCCTGCTTTCCACCGTGTGACCATGAGACGATACTAAATGTACAATCTTGCAACGTTGACAATCTACACTGATGTTTTTATTTTTATTTCCTCCAAATCCAGTTGTTGTTGTTGTCATGCACACCACAGAAGAACAGCTAAGACTTCAGCAACATTACACGCAATTTGAAAAATGACTTTACATCACTTGATCTTTTTTTTTTGTCGTTTTTGACCTTTTCTGAAAAAGAAAAATGGAAATGATAGAAACTCTAAAATGAAAACGGCTCGTTGGATTATTTCGTCGTCGTCGTCTGATAGGAGCCTCGTGAGGCCCAACACAGCCCAGCTGTTGTACGAACGCGCCAACAACAGAAGAGAGGATGATGAAGGGAGGGGTGGAGGGGGAGGAGGGGGAGGAAGCGCTCTTACTCCAGTGTAGAAGGTAGTGCAGTTGAGTCTCGTTTACAATACGTCATTATTTTAGAATTTCCCAGGTGACCTGAACCTAACTGAGCCCAGATCAGCGTGTGCTCACGACCTTCCTGATCAGAGGTCAGGCTCTATGGGAAAAACCAGCTCCTACAACCAAACGCTGACCCTGAATCAGTGGAGAACACGCTTCAGCTTCACGGCCCGGAGCGAGGGGGGTGTCTGTACATCAGCAGGCCCAGACCGCAGCGGCGTCCTAAAAACGCAGATCTTTAATAATAATAATTAAAAAGTGAAAAAGCTGGTTTAACCCCGACTACGGTCGCTGACTACTCCAGCCACTAAAGCCGCGCGGCCTCTAGCAGACGTGGGGCGGTAGAGGGGAGGGGTGGGGTGATGTGGGGGAGGGGGGTGATGGTGCATTTATGTGAGCGTGTACATGTGAGACTCCTCAGTTCTGCATCTGCTCAAAGAACTTGTAGGTCGGGTTCTCGTAGCCGTTCTGCTGCATCTTGGACAGGTGGCGCTCTTCGGGAGTGACGGCAGCATCCACCTGGAGGTGGGGGTGGGGAGTGGGGGACAAACACGTAGACATCTGGTGAGGACACACGAGCAGAAATATCTTCTAAAGGGACATTGGATCCATTCTTTAGTAGGTTTCTGTGTAAAAGTCATTAAACATCCCTACAACTCCGAAAGCTCACGAACAGCCTCAGTTTGAAGAAATGGAGTCAATAACCGTTTCCACTGCAGGAGTTCTGGGAAAGTTCTGGGAGGGGGAAATCGAACGAGAGACCTGATGTCCCGGTCCTCTCAGCTGCTGTGTCCATCGTCCCTTTCAGGAATTTGCTGAGACATCTGCTTCGTCAGTCAGTGATGTCACGGATTATTATTATTATTATTATTATTATACACAACACTGATCTGAAATTACTAATAAGTAACAGAATCAATTCAGTTTATCCTATTACAAAAGTTTAGGGAGAAACCTTTATATCATCTAGGACCGGCTAGCGTAGCATCGTCAAAAACACCACAGTCATGAATAATAACACCAAGTTTTACACCGTTGTTATTTCCCCATCACATGAACTTCTAGGCCGAAATCGGCCCGTAGATGCTTAGATTTGTGCTGATGAATAACCACGTCGTGTGAAAATGATCATTTTTATGAAGAAACACCTCAGAAGGACCCAAACAATCCCTTTAAGATAGATCTGACGGACAAATACAGAATATTGTTTATATCTGAGTGTGTGGGAGTGTGTGTGACCATTAGAAAGGTATAAAACAGATTCTGATGCACAGATATTAAATTTTGGACCAATACCAATAATAATATAGCTGTTTTGGATGAAAACCGATATCTGCCGACAGACGTACACACACACACACACACACACACACACACACACACACACACACACACACACACACACACACACACACACACACACACACACACACACACTTGATTACCATCACCCCCACCCCCACCCCCACCCCCTAAAACTGATACGAACAATATCGGTTGTTAACATCGGCCCAGTTTTGCTCATCGGACCGATGTGTTAAAAAACGACGTACATCGGCCGATACAGATATCGACGAGGATTTATCCTGCATCCCTACTTGTGATGTCATTAAACTTGTTTATTTTCAATTCTAAAAAGTCACACAAACACAGGTCAGCTGTTCCTCACCTCGATCACTCCGTGGTGGATGGAGGTGTACTGCTTCTTCCTCAGCATCACAAGGGTGATGACGATAACCGTTGCTATGACGACGCCTCCAACCATCAGGCCGATGATGGCGCCCTTGTTGGAGCCAACATCTTCTGCGAAGAAGACCTGCGGGAGGCGTCAAAGGGCAGGTGGTCATTAGGTGACGCAGAGATCGAAGAACGAGAGTGTTGTTAATGAGATTCAGAATCTGACATGTGACCTTTGACCTGATTCACCATTAAAAAGAAAAAGGTGAAAAATCTGAAACGGACATCTGACTGTGGTAAACCTTCACATGGAAGCTGTGGAGCAGCAAGTGGGTTTCCAGAGAGAATCATATTAGCAGCGGAGTTAAATCCCGACGCACCGACTGCTCGTATGAAATGTGATCTGTAATAAAACGCAGGGATTACCGGATTAAGGCCTAAAGTGGCAGGAAGGAGGTGTGGATTCAGGTTTAGTGCTGCTTTTACAATGTTGAGATTAAAATCTGGGAGTGGAAGAAATAACGAAGACTAAAGCGTGATCAGAGGGCAGCGGCTCTTCTGGGGCGCCACAAAAGTGTGACGCATTCATTACTGCGGTCATCTCTGTGGACTCTTGTCTCCACGGTGACAACCTTGAGGGTTTATCATGAGGACGGAGCGAAGACACGGATTCTCACGTGTGGAGAAGATGTTAAAATCATCTGTGTGCGTGTGATTTGTGTGTGTTTACCAGTTTCTGGTGGTGAACTTCATACTCTGTACTCTGTCTGTCCTCCGTCTCCATCCTCAGCTCAGGAATAGCTTCCATCTTCATTCCAGTCACTAGAGAAGGAAGACATTTTTTAAATTAATTTAAAAAAAGAAAATATCTAGAATACAAGATTCTTTTCCTTCTGCTGCTCCATTACTGCGGTTTCTAATTAAAATGCCCTCTCAGCCCATTTTCATCCATCGATAGATATAGGCCTGAGGTTTATTAAAGGTCAAGGTCCAGAACAACTTACCCTTACAACTAAATGTCCTCGTCAAACCAACATGAGACGGTTTGCGCGTAAAGCCAAGCTTTTGACAGTAAACTGCATCACAGCTCTTGGATAAGTGAGATATTTAAGGTTTAAATTGTCTGGTATCAACATCAGTTAGCTAGCTTGCTAAAGCTAACATGCTATATGATGCTGCCTCAACTAAGACTTGAATCTTAAATGCCATCTTGAACCTGAACTAAAACCACTTAAAATTCAAATGAGTTCAGGTTTAACCAAACCGATAAGTTAAACATATAGAAACACACCCGTTATTGACGGAATGCAGCTAGAGTTAGGGCTGCTCGATTATGGCAAAAACAATAATCACGATTATTGTGACTGAAATTGAGATCTCGATTATTTTAGACGATTTTTCAATTAATGTTGATTTTATTTGTTTTTATTCTGTCATAAAATTGCTCAGGGCACAATCAGGACAAAAATAGATAAGAAACAAGATGATCACCAAAATAACTGCTGATTCCCAGTATAAAAAGACCAATATACTTTTAGCTCATAGTTTATGACCCAAGGGCTATAGACCTTGGTTTAACTCATTTAAGTCTAACCAGTACAGACCCAAATACCAATATCTTGCAAATACTGACAGCAAGAATTATACAGTGGCATTTATAACAAATACATGCAAATAAATTGATGTTCACAAAATTTTGCATATGTATTTAGTCATGTCAAGGTGCTGTAGGAGAGTGCACTAGCACCGTGTCCTCAGAGAGATTAGTTATTATTTATCAGCGTGAGGAAGTTATTTCTATCCGTTTCTACCTTATTTATAAACTATTTATTTACAGGTCCATCAGTTAATGTAATAATTGTCCCAACCACAGCTGCACCCCCACCCCCCAACCCAGTCTCACAGCAATCAGGGGCAAGCTGCACGTGTGTTTAGCACGCCGCACGCGCACATTTAGCTGTTTTTATCGACTCAGGAGCCCGCAGGTACGGTGTGTGTCACTCACTCTGGTTACTCCAACAGGGAGCCGGCTCTGAGAGCCGTTTCTGTAGCGACCGACACATCACTACATCATTCTCTTTCCTAATGTCCTGAAGAATGGTCCGGAGAGCAAGCAGAGTGCTTAGCTAACCTGCAGGAAACGTCAACGACAGTTATCCAGAAAGTAGCTAAGGGTTACCAGAGATGTTGCTGAGATGTTCGCCAAGTACTTTTAGGATTAAAAAAGTCAAGAAGGGGGTCTGAAAAGCTGCTAGAAATAGCGTCAAAGTCGCTAAGTTGGCAACACTGTGGGAGGAGCGCTTCATTTGCAACTCAGGGCAGCGCAAGTGGGAGGAGCAAATAATCGGCTTGTTTTGTTTTTATAATCGTTCAAAACTCAGATCGTAATTGGGATTAAAATTCGATTAATTGAGCAGCCCTAGCTAGAGTACATTTTATCCTGACATTAATTGTTTTGATTCAAACTGGTGGAACCACCACAGGGGGTAAACACACATTTACACCCAACAGAATGGCAAATATAAATAAACACATCTGGGTGAATGTTTGGGATAAGTGGGACGAACCTGGTCGTGTGGGAACGTCTCGGTCAGGATTGGGAAGAGTGTCCATCAGCTCAACTGGAAGAAAATAACAATTCACGTGTAAAACAAACCTGTGCAAAGACTACAAAAGGGGACGGTAAGCAGCGAGTACCTTGGTTGAAGCTCTCAGGGTGGTTAAAGCCGACCCCTCCCAGCATGTCTTCCTGGGGCAAAAGGTCGGTCTGGCCGTCTCCGAGCTCCTGGTCGGGCATCAGGGCGTCGTTTCCGTAGCTCACCCTCACATCTGTCTGCAGGTTGGCCAGCTGCTGGGCCATCTCGGCCTGCTCTCTCTGCAGGAGCTCTGCAACAAGGGAAGGAGGAGAATTTAAATTCAAATGTCTTTATTTAAAAAAATAATAATAATAAAAAAGAAGTTTCTAAATAACCCAGACACCTCACAGATACTGAATCATACATTATTTGTCTTGTGTGTGTTTTGTTGGGCAGGACAGAACGTGAGTCTCACAGACAGAAACAGATGGTTGGATGACGCACACAACGCTGATAAACTCACAAACCCACAAAAACCTTGCAAATGCAAGAGATAGAGGGAGAGAAGGGAGTTTATCTTCTCAGCAAACCATTTTATTTGACTCTGGACAAAAGAATTAGGCCAAACGGCTCTAATATCCTTATCAGGAAGGGGAAAAAAAGCTTTTTCTCGGGGCTTGAATTCAAAACATTTAATCCTTTTGTTGCACGTAACCCAATCCAGGCAGTGAGTTTTTCACACCCTTTACCTCGCATTTAGGTCAGCAGTTAGTGTGGATGAGGGGCTCGTAGCTATGAAATATGGTTTATGTATTTTATTCATGCACTTCTATCCATGACAGCTGCAGTTTCAGTGGAAACCTCCTTCAACCAAGTCTCATTTTCTTGTCTGTGGTTTCGTGTTTGTGTGGATTTTTCCAATAGTTACACCCCTCTGTAACCTTTAACACGTTTGCTGTGACCTGAGGCATAAACATGTTTTAATAAAAAATAAATAAAAAGTAAGTCTTGATTTCTATTCAGTTTCTATGTTGAGATATTGTTTTATAGATTGGGGGCTCGTCCGGGATCTAACCTGAATTCTTACATCTAAACCAGAAAATCACCTATAGACATTTGCTTCTTGAACTAAACAAAATTCAACCTCACCAACTTGGTCCTGGATATCATCAGCTACTCCAGGAACTTTGTAGAGAAGTCCCAGAGACTGGTTCATTCGCTCCTCGATAACGCGCAGGTGGGTGAGCACCTAAAGGAAAAAAAAAAAAAAACTGGTTCAGCCTTTCTGTTTTAAATTAGGGTAACGTACCCAGTTTTTTATTGTTTTATTTAAAACCGCATAAAGAGACTAGTGATACCTGAGGTCTGATCTGAGCTGCCTTCTTGGGATCCACCATGCGAACATGTTCAAAATGTTTGAGAGTGTGCTGCCGGTCCTTCTGCTCAGAACGCACATACTTCTTCAACAGGCTGAAGACGTGACGGGGCTGTAAAAGACACAGAAAGTCATTAAAACATACTTTGCAACTTTTTCATTTTTTTTAAGTCATTTTCTTGACCATGTGCCAAAATGACCCTTCACATGGTTAATGAAAAGTCACTCGCACCCCACCACCATATCGCACTTGCAACTTCAGAGTGCCGTTCCGGTCTCTGTTGGACTAAATAAAAAGGAGCTGACATACTGGCACTTGAGTCTGCTTCCAGCATGTTTTAGATCACGAACAGAGCTGATTTGTTCGATTTAGTGATGAACTGCTCCTGTAGAAACTAATGAAGGCCAAGGACACATTTGGGCAGTTAGATTAGGGTGTTAAAAAGATTAATGCAAAGCAAAGAGATGCGTTTCACTTTTGGGTTTACTAAACTGACACTAGGGGGTGCTACAAGCAAGCCAAACTGCCCAGTATCCCTTTAAAACAGGGATTTGGTGGGTATTAGAAATTAAGATCTAGACTTTATTGGTATATCAGATATTGGTAAAAAGCCAGAATCAATCACTATTACAAATTTACATTTTCTGTAAAACTATACAGGTGAAACTATAAAAATGAGAATGTGGTGCTAAAGTCCATTTATTTATGAATCCAGCTTAGACTGAGAGACCATCTAAAGGCTCAGGAACCCTTAGCACATTCTGGATTCATCAGCTGATTAAGAGTGTGACACTGAGTCTAGAATATTGAATCTCAATTTTGTAACTGTTTGAGATTTTGAATGTGGGGTTTTCATAAACCGTAAGCCATAATCATCACAATTAGAACAAAGGTAACGAGTCTATCTCATAATAGTTTCACCTTCTAAAATAAACTTTTGCACCAAAGAGTGGGAACATTTCAGCGTACCCTGGGTGGGTCCTGCTGTAGAGAGGTCAGGTAGCTCTCCAAAGCCAAGCGGCGGCGGTCGTTGAGCAGGGCCTCCACCCGCGCCATGTGGGTCTCCACCAGCTGCTGACGCTCGCTGGCGGCTTCCTGCTCCAGCGCCTCCACCTTCTGCTGGAAACGCTGAGGGGGATAAAACATGAACATTTAAAGTGGAGGAAACCTACATGGGCGGTTTTATTTTTGTTAGTCGTCTTACTTGGATCACAACCTTCTTGTCGGCACGGGGAAGATTCTTAGCTTCCCTCTCGGCTTCTTCCCATTCCCTCATCACCTGAGGACAAGAGAAGGAAGTCCATTTCGATTAAGGATGAGACGTTTCTACAACGCCTGATGGGGGCATTTTCAGCATTCGTCGACAGTTTCTGTTCCTGTCCGTCTACAGTCAGAGCTGCCTTGTGGCTCTCCTCAGTAACTCTGCTCCACCAAAGTGAACGACAGTGTCCTTAAGGAAGAGGTGAAGTGCCTGTAACTACTCTCTCATAACAAACAGACTTAACTAAACAATAAAGTCCTTCTCAGTGCCATCAAAAGAGTTTTATGGTTCGTGTCTGGTGGGCTGTTTGGACCTCCATTTGAAAGGGAGACGACTCATGAAATTCACCAAGTCTCGGCGGGATCAGTGTTTTCTTTTCAGATAATTACCATCCTGGATCCAAGTACCTGGGACATTCTCTCTCGGTGCTTGGCTTCCAAGCTCTCCTTGGCTTTCTGGAAGTGAGCGTGCTCGTTTTCATCAGCAGGCGTCTCCAGGTAGTGGTCCACTGCATCGGGGGAGCTAGGCGTGGCGGTGGGTACTGAAACAGAGAAGGAGGCGAGGCGGTGAGAAGGTTTTCAGACTCCGCATTCAAATCGGACACTAGGGTTAGTGTGAGTTCAAAACAGAAAGAAAACAAAGGCCGGAAGCCTCCAACAGCACACAAATACCTCAGATGACCCATAATGCTTTGCAGGAAAAGACAAAACCCCTCTGCTGTTATACAACTCCATTCAGAGCCTGAGAGCGCTCCACTGCCAAACTATTTATGCTTTCATCTCAGATACTGCCAGACATAAATTGGATAGGTTATTGCGTGAAGGTTCAATCAGTGGAAATCATCTTTCCTGAACATCTCATCAAACACGACTGGTTGTGCTGTTTGGGCCGTGTGCACGGTTGTGTGGGCATGAAGGTCGCACATCATGTGAAATTGGTTACGTCTGGTGAGCGCGTGACTGCACAAGCCACAAAAACAACTCAGACCCGAGCTCAGGGATTTGTTGGCTTTGGTCCTGTAAAGTATTTTAAAGAGGCAGCGCCGCAATAACAGCAAAGATCAGAAAAGGGTATTCACAGATCCCCGAGTCTAGAGCCGAGCTTGGTGAAATATGGGATGACTGACCTTTGACCTCTGAGGTAATCTAGGATCTGTTTGGTATATTTTTATAAGACCAAGTTCACTCGATATTTTAAACAGTTTGCAGTGGTCTCTCGTATTGCCTGATACTCATCGCTCCTCTGATTGGCTAACAGCAACACGACTACCACTGACGCAGTTTGCTCTGCAACGTTGAAGTTTTATCTCCACAAATAACAAACCTGGAGGAGTTCTGCCGAGTGGTGGAGTTGCTAATGCTAATGGTTAGCTTCTAGTAGTGGAGGCGTGCTCTGCAGTTTCCTGGACGCTAAACCAAAAACAGCCTTCCTGTTGCGAGCCAAGATGGACAAGTCCACTAATGTTAATTTTCAGTGCGACATAGAACTGTCAGGCTTTTCTAATCCAAGCATTCCCTTGTCTATTTTCTGTCAGCAGCTAATGCACAAAATAGGGGTAGGAGACTGTTTTCACATTCAGTCTGCATGTATAAGTCAGAGTGATTGATCGCATTTCAAAAATAAGTAAACACCGGTTTCTCAGGGAACTTTTTTTTAGTTGGAAAGCTTTCTATTTTAAACATTTATCAGAATTAAATGGACTCTGAGTATTGGAGCTCAGTGTCAACTCCAATTCTATTTGTTTATCACATTTTTAGGTTCGTAGTCCTTCTACCTCTTTAACAAGATTAGGACATTCGTCAAAAATCAGGAGGCGGGCTCAAGGACACTCAAGGACCGCCTACAGCATTCAGCATGTCTGATTTGTATTACTGCCGTTGCCCTGGCAGTAGGCCTTTACCTGTTGGATCAGGTAAGATCGACAGTTAAAAGCTAACAAGATGCTAAAATAGGTTTTGGTGAGAAAAATACATCTAAAAGGAAATATTTTATGATTTCAGCAGTACATTTTGTTAGATTGTGGATGTAAGACTTCATGTAGACCAACTATTTTATTTGAATACCTTTTTAGTTTAGGTTTTGTTCCATCGAGCTTCAAATAGCGAGTTAAACATGCTTTAATTTTCAGAGTGTGTTGACGAAAGCAGTTACTGTGTCTAGACTTATAGCTGAATCCTTGATTGGTATTGGAATTACAAGAATCCTACCTTTCTAATGGCGTAAAATATGTACATAAGAGTGTAGCAAAAATAGACGCTGATTTAACTTGGAAGTGTATGAGGTCCAGTCTGCAAGACAAAAATATCACTCTTCCAAAAGCTATTGGTGAAGGGATCGACCTATCATTGAAGTCGATAAATTCTTCCAATCGCCTAACCTCAACCCCCACCGCCTGCATTAGGCTGCAGGAAGGAAATACAGGAAAACGAATGGTCTTCAGGGAAACTTAAGATTGTGGCCCCACCCACTTTGGCTTAAGACCGCCCACCTAGGATCGTGACCACTAAAGGCTGTATTGATTCAGCAGCTAGGAGAGAGTAGAGCACGTCTCAGCTAGTAGAAGCTAACAATTAGCACAATGGCAACGCATGTTCAGGTTCAGCACATCAATGTTGCGATTTTTTTGTTAATAGGGAGCCTAAGTCACTTCCGCACCATGGGTCCCTGAAAGAACGAAAAAATGAACGCAAGTCAACGGGGCTAAAACGCAATTTTCTAGTTCGGCTTGTTTTGTGCCATGGATTTCACATATGATGTCTGTAATTTTAAAGACACATTTTGATACCAAGAACGCGCTTATTTTCGAACAGGGGAAAACGCTATTTTAAGTTTTGTGTGAAAATAAGTACAGGACTACAAATGCACTTCACAAAAGTGGCGTCATCGAACCAGACACGGAGAAAACTGAGGGAAAAGGGCTGTAAATTCTGCAAACTTCCACAGGAGGAAAGAACCACCATAAATCTAGTCATTTGGTGAGTAGCAGCTACGCTAGGGGAAAGGAGATTATGTGGTGACATCACATATGCGATGTACTGATTTCTAGTCAGTGGTCATGCCAATTGTGAACTTTTACAAGCTGATAAATCTCAAAGTACGTGACTGGCGTGGTCGAAAACACCCGTTATTACTTTTCATTTAAAGTGCAGTACAACACATGAGTGATCCAGGGCGTAAGGCAAAGCGGATGAGAAAATAGCCTTTTTAGCTATGTTTCCTTGCATTAATGTTTTCGTTCTTCCGGGGACCCATGATGCGGAAGTGACTTAGGCTCCCTAAGAAGGCAGTGTTAAAGTTGTGTCAATAGCCAATCCGTTGTTTATAAAACAGGCTGGGGGACCAACATTAACCCTGAGAATGTCGTCTAAGAGTCAAGCCTGCCAGGGAATTTCATTAAAACTTAACCGGAACGATCCACATCTTAAACCATAAAAGGAGCTTTTTCAATAAAAGCTTTCCAATTTTTGTTGGCAAAGTACTCCTGTTGTTGACGGACGTGAAGGGAACGATGATGAAAGCGCTTCATGAGAACAAGCTTTCGGAAAACCTTCCATTAACTGGACCAGAAGTGAATGAACATAACATTAGACCAAGACAACACCTGCCCAAAAAGACACATGGCATTTACTTAGCTGATAAGTGAGTCTTTTATGTGCTTCGTATTTAAAAGAAAACCAAAATGTCAGCTGTTAATTGACCATGCATGCAAACACAGTGAGTGCTTTGCTCCAGGGCTTTCTCCCTCCACTAACCAGCAGAAAAACACAAACGTGGGGACATTTCAGGGGTCAAATTATAAATACCTGAAGAGCAAAACCACAGATTTACAGGCTGAAATGATAACTAAACATCAGAGATCTTTCTCCCAAGGCAAGGATGAGAGAAAATAAGCTCCAAAACTTCATTCAGCTCATTTTACAACTAAATATTCACGTCCTACTCAAAGCTACAGCTAGCCTCGCAAGCCAGACTATATATGTGAATAAACGTTGCAAAGCAAGAATTTGGTCTAGTTCACCAATTCCAAATTCCCCAGATTATCCAAAATTACTGATATGAAAGTTTGCAATATTGTAATAATGGGATGTTCTTCACATTTCAAATGTAAATTACAATTAAGACTATTTGATCTGAACTTTGCAAATAAAAGGAACCATTAAGAGGAACGCAGAAGCAAGCCTGCAACATGTCAAAGACACAGAAATGACGAGCGTCGAAGCGTGGGTTACTGTAAAGAATCGTGTCTGCCCGGGTGACTTTACAGCTCATAGTCACGCTAATGTAAGACGATTAGCTGGAATCACAGGAATGAACGCTGTTTAGCCCGACTGCTCTATAGGGCAGCAACCGCGCAGCCATGGCAACACAAAAGATCACCTTCAGCCTTCGAAGCAGAACGAGAGCACCGGGTATTGGAGAATTTGCCCTTTCTGGTGTCCAGATTGAATACAGAAATCCGGTTCCTACGATCATTTGGACATTCAGTTTCTTTGTCAAATGTTTACTTTGTGTTTATGAATCACTCAAACTAACACTAAAAGGGCAGCAATATTAAAATGTCATCTAATATAAGACTACCAGTTTTTGCTCTTTCTTTACGAAACCCAACAACCATGGATGGAGACGCCAGCGTCATCCTCCACAGGCCTCTTCGTCCCTGATGAAAAACACCGGTGCTCTCCTAAAAACAAGCCCTTTGGTCACAGCGAAGACTTAGGTCTTCGCTGTGACCAAAGGGCTTGTAGTTACGTAGATAAGGCATCACAAACCTGCGCTGGTCTTTTATTTTGAAATTTTGCGGATGCTTTACTCTGATACGAGTGACTTCCCGTTTGGCTATACAGTGGACCAGGGCTGGTCTCCAGCATGTTTTAGTGGTTCTCTGCTCCAACACACTAGATCCAGTGGTTGAATCACCTGTGCAGCAGCTCATCAGGCTCTGCAGAAGCCTGTTGATCACCTGCTGATTGAAACCAGGTGTGTTCATGCAGGGTTAAAACTAAAACGTGCTGGATACTGGCCCTCGAGGCCTGGGATTGAATAGCCCTGCTGTAGACTATACCGGATCCTATCCTATAAGTTTTAGCTAGCTTAGAGGCCTAAAATGGCCCCAAAACTCCAAATCTTCATCTTGGCTTTATCGTTTTGAACAAAGACTTCTATAACAGGTCTCCGGCAGGTTTCAAACCCGGGGGATGGGTGATAAAAGCACATTATATGACATGTAAGTAGAAATTAGTCTATTTTTGACACCTTGGTGAAAATGTTAAAAAAGGACAAAGAGAAAGTGCAGACGAGGTTCAAAAGACTGACGGAAAAAAGCAGCAGAGCTGGGAGTAATTACCTGTTAGCCAGGAATGTAGCCAACAGGCAGAGGAGAGAAAACACTCAAGTGTCAGAGAGACGGCAGGTTAGGGCCGTCGGCAGGACTTACTGACGCTGCGGCAGACAGCCAGGCAGTACTCCTCTGACTCAAAGTTATTCCTGTTGCCTCCACAGCCGCCGTAGATAAACTGAACACAGCGGCCCTCCTGTCGGTCAAAGAACCAGCGGGACAGCATGGCCCGACACGGTCCAGTCTCAGCGTTGGCCCAGCACACATCTTGGAAAACACATCCACACACGTGTCATTCAAAACAGTCCACCCCTAACCCTCCACACCTCCTCCAACACTGTCTTTTCATCAGAACATGGAAAAAAAGTGTTTTGAACATCATCGACTTATCGGCTGCATTTGACACTGTCAACCATGGCTTCCTTTTGTCCACACACTCTAGCATGGGCATCACAGAGAAGACACGCCTGGTTTGAATCATACCTCACAGGACGATCATTCAGTGTATCTTGGCTTGGACAATCCTCCACTGTGCACCATCTTGCCACAGGAGTCCCCCAGGGCTCTGTACTAGGACCTCTTCTCTTTGCCATATACACCACCTCACTGGGTGAGATCATTCGATCACATGGCTTCTCCTACCACTGCTATGCAGACGACACCCAGCTCTATCTGTCATTTCCACCGGACGACCACACTGTCTCTGCACGAATATCAAACTGTCTCTCTGACATAGCAAAATGGATGAAATCCCACCATCTCCAACTCAACCTCTCTAAAACTGAACTACTTGTCATCCCAGCAAAACCATCCATACAGCACAATATCTCAATCCAAAATGACTTCCTATCTCTGGCTCCTTCAAAGGCAGCTCGAAATTTGGGTGTTGTGATTGATGAACACCTGACCTTTAAAGATCATGTCGCCTCTGTTGCCCGTTCATGCCGCTTTGCGCTGTATAACATACGAAAGATCAGACCATACCTAACACAACATGCCACCCAGCTCCTGGTGCAATCTACTGTCATCTCCCCCCTCGACTACTGCAATGCCCTTCTAACTGGTCTTCCAGGCTGTACTGTGAGACCTCTTCAAATGGTCCAGAACGCAGCGGCGCGTCTGGTCTTCAATCAGCCAAAAAGAGCACACGTCACTGCTCTGTTCATTGAGCTTCACTGGCTACCGCTAGCTGCACGCATCAAATTCAAATTGCTAACACTAGCATACAAAGTCCGAGATCTACCTGAATCCTCTTGCAAAGGCTTAAGTCTCGGCCCGACCGCTCCGGTCATCACAAGATCATCGGCTAGCAGTGTCTACACCACGCTCAGGACAATCCAGACTCTTCTCATGCATCATTCCACAAATGTGGAATGACCTACCAAGCACTACCAGAACAGGGGCTTCCTTTCCGACTTTCAAGAAACTCCTGAAGACCCTGCTCTTCAGAGAGCATCTTCTAAACTAGCACCCTCCCTGCACCCGTCCTCCCCTCTACCGTCCACTCCTTTGTTCCCTCCTCTCCATGATTCATCATGCTGGCTCACTGCCACCTACGACTGACTGGAAATTGTTTGTTGTTGTTGTTATTGTTGTTGTTAGCCTCAAGGGCAACATGCAGATTATAACTTCTAAGTCGCTTTGGACAAAAGCGTCTGCTAAATACATAAACATAAACATCATCGATGCTGCGTGTAATTGGACCTCTGACTAACTGAAGACTGAAATTGAAAAGAAAAAAAAAAGGCAGTGTTGGTTTGACTAATTCTAACTCTAATGGGACGTGGCTAATGAAAGCCGCCCGATGATAAATGAGCCCGATGACAGCTGAAAATGAATTTGAGGAGCGCCGGGTTCAGCAAAGCTGAGAAATGATTGGAATAGTGTGTGTTCTGCGTGTTGTCCTAGAAAAGCTCACATTCATCTACAGACCAATGACTGATGACAGGAATCCACACGAACCCACCTCTAACCACTTCCTCCACAGATTCCGTGGTGGTGGTTGTTGTGGTTGTCATGGCAATGCTGGTGGCAGGCTCGTCTGCATCATCGCCGTCATCCAGCATGTCGATGACGTCGTCGTCCCCATCCTCCTCATCCTCCTCCTCCACTTCTTCATCCTCCTCCCCATCCCCGTCCTGGTCGTTGTCTAGCAAGGCCTCTTCGTCGTCGTCGTCGTCCTCCTCCTCCTCCTCCTCCTCTACCACAGTTGGTTTGGCTTCCTCTTGCTGCACCACTGGTTCAGGCTCCCGCACCATACTGGGAGACGTTAAAGAGGAGGAAGATGACATAAAAGCATCTCAGACGACCGGTGTTCTCGTCCTTCTGCGTGAGCTCACCTGTTGTCAGAGTAGTCCGTCTCCACCCCGCCCCACCAGACATCAGAATCATCCGAGTCCTGCTCGGCGCTGTCAGTGTCACGCTCCGCCTCGGTGGGGCAGCACACAAACTCCACCCCTCTGAAACGGTCGATGCCACAGGGCAGCAGCATCCCGTAGTCGTGGAGGTTCATGCTGCGGTCTCCGCAAGACTGAACGGGCACAAAAGCAGAACCGCGCTCATGTAAAACCAATCACTTTGGACTAACGGCGCCGAGTGAACCTTTACCTCTTTGGCGACGGTGTGCCAGTGCAGGTGGCTCTCACACTGGTCCATCCGTTCCTGGTGGAGGAACTTACACTTGTCAGGAACAAGCAGGGCGTCGCTCACAAATTCTCCCACTGGAGCAAAAACAAAAGCAGGGTGAATTCTCTCTCCTGTTGTTGAATCCACACATTTCTGATTAAATCCATCACATGTACCCAGGCAGCGGTAGGGCACCACGATGTGCATGTGATTGTGATTGTGACACTGCTTGCGTCCCTTCTTGCACCAGTTCTGAATGCTGACTGGCTGGTTGGCTTCCACCACGTTGGTGATCTGGAGTTCTGGATACACCTGGAGAGCAGACGTATCGGGAGTGAAGCTCAGTGATTCACCCAAATATTCCTGACTAATCCTCCACCCCCGCTGGGTGTTGGGAGCAGGCGGTATCAGGCGTAACGCAGCTCTTTCAGCATTAAACAGTCACTCACCACATGATCTGAGAACAACTGAATCAGCAATTTGTCAAACTTATGATTCATGACAATGAGTTCACTTTGGTTTAGTCCTTGGAGCTTCACACCTCCAGACATCAGCTACAGCTGCTTCTCCACCAGACAAGGTATGGGTCAGTTCAGTTTTCTAAAAGTGAAACTAATCAATCATGTTGGAAGGACCGTTTTACTGAAGCAGATTTCTTTCTCGTCAGCTTTTATCTTTTTAAAAAGGCTGCAAAGCGACGCAGTCTTTGTTTACAAATGTGAGCAGAGTCCGTGCTGAGCTAATGCTGTAATTCAAAATCGATCTGAAGCCAATAAACAGGAGCGACCCAGAAGATATTTCTGCGTATTTTTATTCAATTCAACTTTATAGAACCCCAAATCACGACAAGAGCCGTCTCAAGGTACTTTGCACAGTAAACATTCCAATACAGGTCAGGTCATTAAGCTAATCACTAAAATGTTTCCTAGATAAGGAACCCAGCAGGTTGCATCGAGTCACTGACTAGTGTCAGAGTCTTTACAGCAATCCTCATACTAAGCAAGCATGCAGCGACAGTGGAGAGGAAAACTCCTGTTTAACAGGAAGAAACCTCCAGAGGATCCTGGCTCAGTATAAGCAGCCATCCGCTACGACTAGGGATGGGTACCTTTGACATTTGAATCGATCCAGTACTAATTCCCGGTACTTACGAATCGATACCGGTACTTAACGGTACCAATTTTCGATACTTTTTGAGTGTTTAATATTTTAATTCTCTTTTATAATTACATGGTATCTGCAGGTTTATGGGAGCCAAATTTAAGACATTTTAAGACCCTTTTTAAGGCCACTTAGACCAAATTTAAGCTATTTTTAAAAATAAAATTTAAGCTATAATTTCCAGCTATTGCCTGGAACCGGTGCTAACCACGTCACAAACGTGGGATTAGCCAATTAAACTTGCACTTCCCCATGGTGCAAGCTCCCACTAGCTTAACCAGCTAATGTGCTCATCTAAAAATAGCCCCCTTTCACAACCAACTGAATGTGTACGGTTCCGCTTATGCCAATATCGTACAAAAAAAACGCTGAACGCTAACGAGAAACTCACAAAAATTTTATAGAAATGAAACAATCCTGTTTATTGGGTCTTTGGTCATTTAAGACCTTTGTAAACTCTATTTAAGGATTATTTGTCATTTTTAAGGATTTTTGAGGCCTTAAATTTGGAAAAGCAAATTTAAGACTTAAGACTTTTTAAGGATCTGTAATTAGATATATAGTTTTCTCAATATATAACCATATTTGATAAATATCACGATAAATAACATACAACTGTTTGTATTAACATCGTCCTTGTAGTTTTATGAGCTGATAATTAAACTGAAGCAAACATCTTTACTGTGAACTAAATTTACTATGTATCTTCATTCCTTTTACCGTCCTTTTTCAATTGATTTTTCCTACTGGGAAGTTAGAATTTCGAGGAGAAAGCGAACGCACCATTAGATGATAACAACGGTGACATAGGAAGCTAACATATCAAGCTACGTTATCTTAAACAGTTTATTTAACTGCTGGAGCAGATTAAAACGATGATGCCTCACACTTAGATCGTTGTCGCTGGTTTCATCTTCACCCAATCACCCGTCGCATTTAGTAAAGTGAAGCCAAACTTTAGTGCGCGTTCATGTTCTTCTAGTCGGAATTTCGGAGTTCCGAGGAGAAAGCGAACGCACCATTAGTGAAACGGAAGCTAACAAATCAAGCTAACGTTATCTTACATTTTATTTACCTACCGGAGCAGATTAAGATGAGGATGTCTCACTTAGATCGTTGTTGCTGGTTTCATCATCACCCAGTTACCCAACACATTTAGTGAAGTGGACCCAATCTTTAGCATTCATTCTTTCTACCATGCTGCTCTGTTTACAACTCGCTCGCAGCGACCGATGGCATAACGCTCTTGCGCATGCGCAGCTGTCTAGGCAAGTTCTTGTTGTGAAGGACGGGTACCGAAACGAGGCACCGTTTGAAATGAAGTGAACCGGTGCTCGGCCGGTACTATGGAATTTGGTCGGTACCTTAAAAAGTACCGAATTCGGTACCCATCCCTAGCTACGACTCACTGGAGATGGAGAAGACAGACACGTTGTCACTTTAACTGTTTTAGTGATTGTGGGTAAAAATCCCTGAAGAAATGAAGGTTGTGGAATATTCTAGTCTAGCTGCTTTTTGATTGGCTGATCAGCTGGTTGGAAGAGAAGGCTATGCTGAGCTAACAATGCTAACAGTGAAAGGAAAACAAATAATCGGCTCTAAAATTATCTCAATTACCAACAACTCTTTTCTCATCATCTAGAATCTTCTGACACTGAGCCGTGGCCTTCACTGAACAGTAGTGGAAAAAGTCACTAGTGTGTTCAGAAAAAAAGGGCTGCAGTACCCAAATGTGACCACAGGATGTCCTTACTTCATTCTTACACATTGTACCTTACAGGACTTAGCTAAGACGTCAGCATATCGCAACAGTTTCTGTAGGAAGTGATGTCACTGATCTGTGCCAAAAGGCCCAGGGTCATTAATAACAAAGAGACTTTATTTTGTCCAAGTACACCGCATTTTAAGATGTTTGGGGGAATGCGTTGTAAGAGTGGCTGTGTGATGTAAAAAGCAGCATTCAAGTAACCAATTAAACGCAGTTTTTCCCAACACTCTGTAGGAGGCCATAAAACAGCGTGAATTATGGCGTTGAGTGGATTTTTGGCGTGTTCGTCAGCATTGGGAGTTTAGAAACGTCCATTCCATTTCACCAGCAACTCATCCAATTTTAAAAATGCCGGTTATTTGGCGATGTCTACCGATGTCATGTCCTAAAGACCAATGAGCGTGAGTTAGATACAAGACCCGCCCACAGACTCCACTGGGTCATACCAGAGTACCTAACCAAGATCAGGTACTCGTCTGATTCCTGAAACGGCTTAGAAAGCGGTCTTCTCGGGCCGGCCCGGTGAAATGGAGTCACGGGGAAACCGTGAAAATCAATTTACCTGGAAGTTGTGACAGAAGAAACGGGCCTCTTGCTTTCTCCGCCCTTACAACGTTTGACATGAATGTATTTCACTCGTCTTTATCTTCATGGTCCATGAGCCTTTGCACATCTGCCTCCTCCTCTCTCCTTCCTTTATGCTCACAGCCTTGTTGCTTCCTTGTCACGTTTATCTTTATCAAATCATCTCGTGTTGTGCCTCAAGGGAGGAACTCTCCCAGTCTGCTTCTGTTTGGGTTTCTGATATTGGATATTCAGATTCAGCTTGAAGCCCTGGCGAGTGTTCGTTTACCCTTCTCTAGATTCGTTATCAGTTCCAACTTTCCTGACCTTCTATTCTCTACAGGTTTATTCATCGAAACTGTAGGATTTTTCTAGCTAAACAAGGGTTTTGTGTTTGGTTTCCTTTAATTACAAGTCGACCACGGCTGTGAAAATAACGTCACACGGTCTTAAGCAGCTTGTTTACCGAGCAGCGCTCTGGCATCACATCCTGTTGCTAAATTGGGGATTTTGAGGACCAGAAAAAATAAATCTGCTTGCTAAATGTACAGATTTGAGGAGAAACACCTCTTTGTGCCCTTGGTTTCCTATGAAGCTTCATTTAAATTTAGTGCAGTTGTTCAGAAATCATCACTAATAACTTGCAAAATTCAATAAAAATACTCAATAAAAGTTTAGGACACTTAAGAAAAACAATTATTAAGATTAGAAACTAATTTAAATAGGAAAATTGCATTTTCTGCTCTGCTTTTAGGCGTTTTTACCTCCTGGCAGTACTGCAGGATTCCCTCTTTGGTCCCGATGCAGCTCTTCGTGCCCGAGGGGTCGGACTCCCACTTGCCGCTCTGAACGTTGATGTGCATGTTGAGTTTACCGCAAAACATAGCCACCTGCGGCTCGGCCAGCAGACCCATAGAAACATCGGTGGGGACCTGAAAGAGAGGCAGATTTAATCAGATACGTCAGCGTTTGAGCTGAGAAATGAATCCGAGATCCAATATTTAGTTTTAATATTGTTGACTTGGACTGGACAGTCAGGCTGCGCGGCCAAACTGGACTTCCCTACTGCAGGATGCTCGAGGATAAAAAGAGAAACCAGGCTGTTGATAGGTTATGGCTAATGAGGTACACACTAATCCTGCGTTGTAGTGCATATGCATTTTCCGATTCTCAAGTGCGGAAGTTGACCACGCCCCCTTTGCACGCCCCTTTGATCTGCATCAATGTGGACTAGCTAACTCATGCTAATTGGTCAACGTCATTCAGTACACTTTTACAGACTGCAGAGTCAACAGTAGAAATGTTGAGTAAAAATGAAAAAAATACATTTTTCCTTCTGGTTAGAAAAAAACATTTGGAATATGATAAATGACAAATGACCCGCACTTGTATAGCGCCTCTCAGAGTAAGGACTCCAAAGCGCTTTACACTACAGCGTATCATTCATCCATTCAAACACACATTCACACACTGATGGTGATGAGCTACGATGTAGCCACAGCTGCCCTGGGGCGCACTGACAGAATATTAGTGGAAAATCAAGTCTGCAATATTAGAACCAAATATTCATCATTTCCTCTTTTACCCTAAATGACAATAGTTCATTTTGAAGCCTACTGCACACTGGAAGCATCAGCGGCGTGGAACGGCAGCAGAACGTTGCTGCTTCAAACAGAATCCATTATAATCTATGGAGTGTTTCAAACCGTGGCAATTTTCAGTCGTGTCCCAGAAGCGGCACGCCGCACCGCTAAAGATGGAGTCGGGTTCTTTTTTTTGCCGCAAGACGCTTCTGGGACGCGACAATATCTACGGTTAACACGGGGCTAGACAGGAAAAAGCACAGTTTCAGTATAAAATCTCCAGTAATTTTCAAAATAAAAGCTTTTGCAGCAATGCAATTTCATATTGATTACATCAGTGCAAGTGACCTAACGGCTTATTTACTCCCTGAATCGTGCTTTAATTCTGACATCAAACAATGATATCAAACGTGATTTCCTTCTTTTGGGTTTAATAGCAGACGGCATTAACTGCATGGTGGCGCAGTGGTTAGCACTGTTGCCTCGCAGCACGAGGGTTGCAGGTTCGAAACTCAGCTGCAGCCTTTCTGCGTGGAGTTGCGTGTTCTCCCCATGCATGCGTGGGTTTCCTCCGGGTACTCCGGTTTCCCCCCCACAGATCACAACATGCCCTATAGGTTATAAAATTGTAAGTCGCTTTGGATAAAAGCGTCTGCTAAATAAATAAACATAAACATAGCTCGAGGGATGAAGTGATCTCGTGAGTCGAGTGAGGAGCACAGCGGAGAAGCTGCGTCATGGCCGAGACTCTCCCGGTGTGCACCGAGTGCAGCAATTGTCGCGAGTAAACCTTGCCACCGCGTTCCGCGATGCTGATGCTTCCGGTGTGCAGTAGGGGTAAGACGAGGAATGACACGTATCCATGCTCTGACTGTTAAGATGTAAACAGCAATAAATGCAAAAATTTGTCAAATAATTTTTTTAACTTGTCAAGATTTTAAAAAAAAAGTATCAGAGACCAACATCCCAGCAGGCGTCACAGTCAACGATGCAATGCTCACTGTCTCAATTCGACAATCTGCATACTTGTGTAATAAGCACTCGACTCCTTAAGATTGGTTTATGCTCAACGCGTCGGCGAGGTCCGTATGGCCAAGTTACTTCATTTCTAGGGATGTCCCGTTCCAATATCGATACCGGAGGTAATTCGATGTCGAACTAAAAACAGTGCATCAGGTTATAATGGACAGCATCAAAAATCTTCGATATAAGAGGTCCATTAAGGTTTCCATTTTTGTAACCAACGGGTTAAGAAAAAAAATTGTCATTTGTTTCATACCGTTATTGGCTTTTGTTCTCAGGTTGAGTAATATCACCTATTTCCACACTACAAATAGGTAAAAGTATGTATGATCAGACTGACATTGGTATTGGTCTGTACTGAAGGCTGCAATATCGGTATCGTATCTGAAGTAAAATTGTTGTATCGGGACATCCCTAGTAATTTCCGCCACAACGCCCTCCAATTGGCCTCTGCGCGGCCCCAAGTTTCCATTCCGCGCACTTAGGAAATTTTCTAACCACGCAGACGGCCCTCCACAGAAAAACATGGCGGACTGGCAAGAGCTCGTAATGGCAGAGGTTCGTAAGTACAGACATCTTTATGATTTGGCCCATAAAATCCCTGTGATCAAAATATTAACGGGCGTGACAGTCAGAATAGGAGGACAGTGAAAAAACATTAATTTCTCCTTCTACTATGATGTAGCGTTGGATGCATGCAGTAGAGCCCCATGCCGCCCCCTGCAGTCAGAGAGTATTGGCTCACAGCGGAGACGAGCCGCAGAAGGTAGGAAGGAACCATTAACGCTGCAAGGTCCGACGCACGTTCCACCCGCCCGTCTCATTTCCGAACGGAATGTAAATGCGTCAAGCATAAACCAAGCTTTACTGCACACTTCCACCAAGTGCACTTTGCAGAGGACTGTGGGGTGCAGTGAGAGTATTGGGACTGGGCCAGAGAAAAAATACAGGTGGCGTTAGGAGGAACGATGTTTCTTTGAAATGGCTTTGGCATCCACTTTGGATAACTGAGACTCTGGCTTTTCTTTGAGACATGAGCAGATAGAGGTGCTCAGGTCCTTTATTTAGAAAAACAATGCATTTGCTTATTCTACAGAGTATGGCCGACTGCCTTGTTGTGATGAATATGTCACATTGCTAGCGCTGTCCAATTGCGTGCAGAGGTTTAAAAGACAACCGTAGAGTCCGCCCCACAACTAACTGAGCTCTGTCTATGGGTCGTGGCCAGACCATATATTTACATATATAGGATGTCTTGCCAGGCTAATATATTATAGGAATCAGGAAGATATCTTTTCTTTTGCAATAATGTTGGACCGGATTTCCACGAAGCTCAAATAAATACTCCATAAAACACAAAATGTGTCAGGAATGTGTGAACTGTGGTAAATTAATTTTGCAAAAGGATCATGCTGGAAAAATAATGAAGAACAAAAGCATGGATGTCAAAAAAAAATCAATATCTTTACAGGAACAGATTAGCACAGAGAAACGGGCCTGGAGCGAACAAGCCACCCCATCATACATTTATCGTGTTCAGACACGCTGCATGTGGACGCACTCGCTCGCCCCCTCAGACCTTTGTGTCCCTTTACTACGACGGTATGGAGCTTATATAACCTGTTCTCTCTCTGCAAGTCCAGCACACACCGACAACAGGAGTGTGTGTGTGAGTGAGAGAGAGAGAGAGACAGAAAGTCCATTTTCAGCATGAACGTAGGAACTTTTCCATTCATTTCCACCCTCCTGCGTGATGATTTGTCTACATGAGACGGTTCGGTGTTGAGGTCCACCTCCAGAGAGGAGGTGCTGCTGAATGTCTGCATTGTTCCGCCAAATGAGCCGGAACGAACCGGGAGGGAAAATGGAGGAAAAATAAAACACGTAAGAGAAAGAGACCGAGAGGAGGAGATGGAGGGACTGCTGCCATTGTGCGCTCCCTAATCTTGTTAAGGGTTTAAAGGCTCTGGCAGGCAGAAATGCTCACAAACAGAAATAAATATCAAGTTGAGATAAATTTTGTCCAATAAGGCTTCATACAGATTAGAATGTCACTAAATGAAGAAAATTACATTTTTATGTTTGAAAATCTCCTTAAATAATCATAATAGATATAATGTTAAGATTAATATGAAATAGGTGCCTAATAGAATAAAAAAATCAATTTAATTTAAAAAAATAGAAAAAAGTTAGGATAGGGAAGAGAAGGCTATGTCACAATTAAATATATGCATTTATTGTGAATCATTGCAAATAATTCAAATATAAAAGTAACATTAATTTACAGTCTCACACCTATTAGTTTATTATTATTATTTCTTCCAAAACCCTGGTATTTATCATAAATAGTTATGATAAAAATGTGAGTAAATGCAGTTGAAATCAGCTCCTCCATTTACACACACACACACACACACATACACACACACACACACACACACACACACACACACACACACACACACCCTGCTGACCACAGCCTCCTCCACACACACACACACGACTGATGACACCAGCGGCCATTACTCCTGACACGGAGCCATCTGCACCGCCACACGGATTATTTACTGGCTCTATTCTCACACCACCATCTGTGAGTTGTAGCTCACACTCGTTCTCATTGATAGAAACAATCTGGTCAAATTTAGAACGCTCTAATAAAACCACTATTGTCCATGTGTACGCTGACCCCCCATTGACCTTAGATCAAACTACTTCCTCGTTGCTCTGAAGCGTTTGTAGGCAAATCGGTGCGAGACAACCGTGGCTGACATTCAAATTCTTTCGAATCATCTCCACCCATCTCATTCTCTCCTTTCTTCCTGCCAGCTCTCAGCTGCTCAGTCAGCTGTTACAGAAGGTGGAGGAGGAAATGGACCCAGCCCCCGCTCCACCATCACAAGTCACACGGTGACGAGAGTAAAACAACAGAAACCAGGCGAGGCAGCCCTGTAGAACTAGACCCAGAGAACACAATGGAACGGTGAGCCACACCAGCAGCAGAGCTAGGATTGCCTCTGCATCTCCTCTCAGCCCCCAGCAGTAATCTGGGCAGTGATTAGGACACAAGCCCGGTCAGGTCTCAATCTGCTATCACAGTCGTGTTCAAACACGGCCAAGGATGGCTAAAGTCATCTATACTTCTAAGCCTGCAACAAAAAATGGTTTTATTTATTTCTCCTATAACTAAACTCAAAAACATTCACACAAGCTAAAGCACGCTAGCTAAACAGCGAGATAAAACCAAGCACAATAGATCGGGAACACCCAAAAAGGCCTTCAACGTCAGCGTAGTAATTACAAAATGTGTTCTACCCGATGGTTCT